GCCGCTCTTCCCGTTCATAGTGGGGTTCCTCGCGACGTTCTTCCCGGCGGAAGTGGAGGCTAGACCCAGCAGACGATCGATCTGCGTCAGTGGCGGGAGGTCGGCGTTGGAGTAGCCGGAGGATTTAGTCGATGCTGGCTTGAGCGGTGGCCGAGTGAGTTTCCAAGGCTTGGAGGCGGCCACCGAGTTCTGCCACCAAACCCCCTAATTCTGCCACCGATCCTTCTATTCGTCGAACATCATCAGGGATGGCCGTTTTGATCGCCTCTTGAATGCTCTCCAGGTTTGCTTCGAGAGACTCGATCCTTTCCTTGTCTGCCGCTGGTTTCGGACCAATGGATTCGTGCTCTGATACCAAGTGTTGGAACTTGGAAATCAGGGGAGTGAGTTTGTTCTGCTTTTGGCGAGAACATGCTAGTGTAACTCTGGTGTTGTGTTCTATTAATTCACTGCTGCCTGTTTATTCATTTCCATCCTCTATTTATAGAGGAGAAGTCCTAATGATCGGGTTCACAAGATGATACCCTGATCTCTACGATTTGGAGGATCCATATGATCTCCCTACACCTACAAATGAAATCAAATCCTAACAGCTACGTGGACATCCGATTCCACTAACAATCCAAATGAAAGATAAGTCGAATGAATCCAAATCCTAACTACCATACTTCCTACGCAAGCAGCAGTTCTCACACTTCTATCTTCCTGTTTAGCCATGTCGCGGATCCTCCGATGCTCTTGGTTGGGCCTCCCTTTGTCCAGCCCGGGTCGTGAGCCCATCAGAATATGACTTAAATTTGATTTCGGTTTGTTTTGTGTTTTTGGCCTATTCTATTTGGGTTTGGATTGGGTTTTGTTTTGACCTTTTCCTTGTATGTTTGGGAAAAGGTGTTCGGTTTTTCTGTTTGGGATTAGGAGAAGAGTTCTATAAATACTCTTCATCACCCTAGTCTGTAGTAAGGTCAGTCGGGTTAGTTTGTTTGGTTTGTCCGTTCAGGAATTTGGTCTGTAACCTGTACTCTCCTCAAATCAGTGAAATTCGTTCTCCCCTGCTAGTGGATTAGCTAGCACACATTGTGTTAGTGAACCACGTTAAATTTGTGTTTGTTCGTTTTGATCTGGATTTTTGATTGCACGCTTCTGTTCTGACAAGTGGTATTAGAACCGTGGTTGATCTTGGGTTATTTGATAATGTCTTCGCGGGATTTGGGGATCGCGCTGCTGGTTCGTGGATTTATATTTCCTCTCTCCGGCTTCAATTTGGTGGTTCATTATTTTGGAGAAAGCAAATTAGTGGCGGCCCAATTGCTTTGTTTTTTTGGGGTTGTATCATTGTGATTATTAATCACAATATGCTTGCCGCAGAAGGAAAATTTGTCGCCAACAAAAATCCCAATTTTTTGGCTATTGTTTTTCTTGTGTACAAGCGCTGGCAGCAAGCTAATTGTGGTTAGGGTTTGGACTTTGGAGTCGATTTGGTATTGGTGGTGGAAGCCAATTGGAGTTTGGAATCATTGATTTGGTTGGTGTCCAAAAGAAATTTTGTTCGTGGGAAGTACAAGGGTTGTGGTAGTTTGGAACTCAGCTGTTTGGTTTGTTTCTGGGAAATATTTTGGTGGAAAGTTTGGTTAGGTTTTCTTTGAAAATTAAGGATGGTTGCCATCAGTATGAATATTGATGAGTTTACCGGGAGAAACAGTTTCAGTTTGTGGCAGATACTGTTGAAACAACAGGGTTTGTGGACTCCGTTGTCTGAAAAATCGAAGAAGTAAAGCATAGATGAAGAAGAGTGGATCACTTTGGAGGAGAAAGCTCACTCTACAATCTTGCTTTGTTTGGCTGATGACATCATCACTGAGGTTGCTGCTGAGAAGACTGCCGCGGGCTTGTGGTTGAAGGTTGAAAGTCTATACATGACAAAGTCTTTAACCAACAGGTTGCATATGAAGCAACGTTTGTTCAATTTGTGTATGGAGGAAGATACATCTATCAGGAATCATCTAGATCAACTCAATACTATCTTGTTAGATCTGCGGAATATTGATGTTAAAGTAGATGATGAGGATGTTGCCTTAATTCTGTTAGTATCTTTGCCACAATCATATGAGAATTTTATGGATTCTTTTATTGCTGGGAAAGATAGTTTGTCTTTGGAAGATGTCAGATCTGCTCTACATAGTAGGGAGGTTCGACATAAGGCGTCTGGTTCAGGTTCGAAAAATCGGGCATCTGGGTTGGCTGCTACGAGTAGTAGGAGACAACAATCTGGTAATAAGAAGGCGAATATAAATTCGAATTCTGTTGGTTTGAAAGATGATATCTGTCAATACTGTAAGGAGAAAGGACATTGGAAATTCGATTGCACTAAGTAGGGTTGGAAATCGGTACGATATCGATATCCCAATACCGAAATCCTGAATACCGAATTACACTCTAAAGTCAATCCCAATCCCTAAATGATTTCGGTATCTCAATCACAATCCCTAAATATTTCGGTATCCCAATCGGTACTTCGGTATCACAATCGGTATTATCAAATACAAATTTAATTATCTTTGCAGGTAATAATTAAATATATAATTAGAATTGATTGTTTAATTTAGAGTAAAGAGAGTAAGCAAAGAGTCTTGAGTTTGTCTAGAGCTAGTATATGGATATGGAGAATGGAGGAGAGGTGACAGCTCAAATTCTTGTTATTGGTAATCCTTAATTTAACGAATTGGAGGTTGAGAGAAAACTAATACTAGTGTTTGGTTTTTGGTGCTATGAAAATAACAAGAGATTAGGTGAGCAACGAGAGTGACTTAAAGTGGAAAGTCAAAATTGAGTTGGATGGGGGCTTCTAAGTTGTGAAAAAGTGAGGAATGACTAAAAGTTGTGTGTTATATTTTATTAATTTTTAATTTTCGGTATTTCTTGGTATTTCGGTATGTACCGATCCCAATCCCGTAATCCCGAATACCGAATAGCACTCTAAAATGAATCCCAATCCCTAAAAAATAAACCGGTATTCGGTAATACCAAATAGTGATAAATTCGATACGGTATTCGGTATATCCCAAATACCGGTACCAAACTTCCAGCCCTAGTCCTAAGCGAAAGAAATATCAGGAGAAGAAGGAATCATCTGCTGCTGTGGCGGAAGAAACTAACTCTGATTCTAAAGATGGTTTAGCCTTAGCAGTGAATGAACAAGTACATCATCAGGATGTGTGGTATTTGGATACTGCAACTGATTATCATATGTGTCCAAGTAGGGAGTGTTTTCAACTTATGAGCAGATAGATGGAGGACATGTTTCTATGGCCAATGGTGCTATCTGTAAGATTGTTGGAAGAGGCTCCGTCAGGATGAGGACACATGATAGTTCTGTTCGCACCTTGAAAAATATTAGGCATATTCCAGAGATGACTAAGAATCTGATATCTTTGAGTCTACTCGACAGCAAGGGTTTCAGTTTCAAAGGTGAAGGTGGAGTGTTGTCTGTCTACAAAGGTTCTAAGGTGATTTTGAAAGGTGTCAAATGGGGTGCCTTGTATAATCTACAAGGTTCTGTTTTGACATGCTCTATTGATGATAAGTGCACCAAGTTGGTTTTGAATGGCAAGTCTCAACATGGGTTGGAGTTGCCAAATGGTTTGAGTTGTTGACCGCCCTTAGGGGCATTTGGAGGCAGGAGAGATTTTGGTACAGCTGATTTGGAGGAGTTGGGTACATCTGGCAACTTTGGTTGCGTCTGGTACATCTTGTATTTGAGAGAGAATTCAAGTCAAGGTGGAGATTGTTAGAATATGACTTGAATTTGATTTGGTTTTGTTTTGTGTTTTAGGCCTATTCTGTTTGGGTTTGGGATTGAGTTTTGTTTTGACCTTTTCCTTGTATGTTTGGGAAAAGGTGTTCGATTTTTCTGTTTGGGAATAGGAGAAGAGTTCTATAAATACTCTTCATCACCCTAGTCTGTAGTAAGGTCAGTCGGGTTAGTTTGTTTAATTTATCCGTTCAGGAATTTGGTTTGTAACCTGTACTCTCCTTAAATCAGTGAAATTTGTTCTCCCCTGCTCGTGGATAGCTAGCACACATTGTGTTAGTGAACCACGTTAAATTTGTGTTCGTTTGTTTTGATCTGGATTTTCGATTGCACGCTTCTATTCTGAAAATGACCTTAAGGAACCATTCAATTTTTACTACCAAGATGCGTTTTTAGGTGGAATGGTTGATTTCTTGTAAGAAATTTTAAGTTAAACTTGTCAGGGTAGATCTCACGTTGAAAAAGCACAAGAGATATCCATGACCTTAAGTCATCATGATGCACTGAAAATCAAAATCATGTTGGGCTAGGCCCTAAGCAGATAATATCTTTGTCAAAAAAGGGTTGAGATGTTACAAGCTGTATTAGAGATCAATGTTCACAAGAAGAACTTCAAGTTTAATTGACAAGATGCATTTTGGATTGAAATGAAAGAGTTCTGGTAAAACTAAGGAATTAAATAATAAACATGCTTAACATGATGTAATGTAGAGATAGGTAACTTCTTAAAAAACTTTATCTTAACACCTTTATTCAAACAAAAAAGTCACCATAATACACTAAAATGCAAAAATTAAATTTAAAGAGGACAATATCTTCTCACAGTATACTCAACCGTGACTGACCTCTTATTATGTCGAGCCCAAAAGAACAAAGCCCACTGCGCCCTGCAAATCTACAAGAGGCCTCTTTCGCGTTGCCCCGTCGGGTCGGGTATCTGCCGTTGCCCCGTAATCACGTGCCGCCTGGCCCTGGCCGGGAAGTGAGAAGTGGTCCTAAGGCAGGCACGAGCCTCTCCTCTTCTCGCTCTTCGTTTCCGTTGATTCTCCTTCGAGGTAACAAAATATAGAGCAGAGAACAAACCAGAAGAAGAAAGTCGGCAGCTTTGCAACAGAAGATAGCTTGTCAAGGCCATGATATTTTAGTCTTTACGCGAACCAGAACCGGGTCGAAGGAAAAAGAAGAAATTCTCATGTCGAGACTATCGCTGATTCACCGGATTACCCCATTTTTCGCCGCTCGGATTCGGCAGAATCACCGGCTTCTAAGTTCTTCTTCTTCCTCTGCGCTCCGCCAAGCTCCCTCTGCCGCTCCATCCCTCGAAGAATCTCTGCACCTGACCGAAAATTGCATCCGGGTATATGTTCGTTCATTCGTCTATCTCGTTGGCTTTTCCTTTGATTTTTTCCTTGATTGATGCTCCGATTCGTGATCTGTCTTACCTTGCTGGGCTGATGCTTCAATTGGGGTCACTTCCTTTTCGCCGGTGAGCGCAATAGAATTGGAACCCCATCGCGTTTGTTCCTTCCGCAAATCCTCCCAGTTCTGCCAATTTAACGATGGAAATATTATAGATAGACGCTTCAGGCTTTCATTTTTATTGAAGCTTATTTTGTAGAATATATGCTATATGATCTGGCTTATTCTTCGACTTCATGTATGAACTGGGAATCATTTCTAGCATCATTCGGTGGTTTCATGAGAGCTGATTGTGATTCTCATATCCTTTCTGGGTCTGATTTAGAACCTGTTTTCATTCTGATATGATGCATGAAGAGGGGGTTTTCATGGAGGTGTTGGGCTGTCTTTTCAGAGAATGAAAGAACTGCAAGCCAGTGAGAGATCAACAGATGAGAAAATGCTGCGCTTGGGAGTAGAAACCGGTGGATGTTCAGGATTCCAATATGTTTTTGACTTGGACGATAAGTTGAACCCTGATGACAGGTGCTTTATCTTCTTTACTTTTGTATCCTGTTGATGTAAAGTTGCTGATTAAATCATGCTTTGGGATGCCATCATGCCTTATTTTTGTACCTATTATCTTTTCATTGCATATTTTCTGCAGAGTATTTGAGAAGGAAGGAGTGAAACTAGTTGTTGATAATATATCTTACGATTTCGTTAAAGGGGCAACCATAGATTATGTTGAAGAGCTCATTCGATCTGCATTCCAAGTAAGCATTCCTTCTGTAAAGTGTGTGTTATACTCGATTTTTCATTTGTATGTCTTCATTCTGGTGTTGTTCATTGTGGACGATTTACGTAGGCTTTCCTTCGAAAATATGATGATGAAATATGAAACTGGGTTGATGCCTTGATTTTACTTATCTGAAAAATGGATTAAGGACAGTATTGTAGCATCCGAACGCTGTCTCGCCAATCAGTTAGCTCAGCTTTGGGTGGTAACTGGTAACATTGTATAGTACACAGATCAGTTCATGATTTGCTACATTGTCATGGACTCAATACTGATGTTTGATACTCTCTAATCTGGCTTGAGCTTCTACTGGAAATGTCTTGCTCTGGTAAGACAGGTGGTGTCAGTGGTAAATATCGAATAAATGAGCATTCCTAACGATTTAAATAGTTATCATGCTATTGGTAAGGGTTTGATCCATCATGCTATTGGTAAGGGTTTGATCCATCAAGAGGCCGATTTACCTTAGATGGACAGATACATCTTCTTCGCCTAATTAAGCGTGGTCAGCTATTGCGGATGTGCAGGTTCAATGATTTTTAAGGTTGATCAACACCTCTTGGAATAATCTGTCCCACTGAATCCCTGATCTAATCAAGTTGCTATTTTGATGAAATTTTAAAAGGGCCTTCCCAAAACACGAGTCTAGATTGACTTGGTTAGGACGTGATCATAGGTGACTAGTAGACATATAGCTAATTCCGCTGCTGATTCTTGTAGTTATCAAAATACAAGTCAAACCTAGGATCTTCAGTATTTTACAAATCACATATAGGTCTACATCTTGTTGACGAAATAGGGCAGATACATGTCAGTTATTAGAATAGAGACAAAACTAATATTTACTGCTAAGCTCTTTTGATTTTGAAATAGGGTTGCAACTAAATTTGGGTTTCTTTTGCAGGTGACTGAAAATCCAAGTGCAGTTGGCGGGTGCAGTTGTAAAAGCTCTTTCATGGTTAAATAGTGAATAGTGATACACTACAAATTCAACGAGACACTGATTCTTCCTCCCATGTATTATTATGACCGGGTAGCCGCTGTCTGTATTTTATTGTTCTCTTTTCCTATTGATTCATATAATAAAACTGAACCCAAATTTTGCACCAGATTCCTTGTATAAAACGCGATCCCTGTAATGCAGAGAGCTCGTTACTGTTTGAGAATGCAGCAATGGAGAGAAGTAATATATATTTTTTGTTCATAGAATGTGTCCACAATGTAGAATTGCTCTATAGTAACGGATTTGTTCTCCCTGCAATTCATAGAATGTTTCCACACTTGGTTGTGGGATGTTACTAGCAAGCTTTTTCCTTTCTAAACATGTTTGATCGAAAATAATACTAAGAAAGGAGACTTCCTAGTGCATTAGTGTTAGTACGAATTTAGGGGTGTACATGGGTCGGGTGGTCCGGGTTTAGGCATTTTAATCACCCGACCCATGCACTACGGTTTGGGAAATATTAAACCCAAACCCACCCAAAAAATCTAAACCCTACGGTTTGTTTCTAATTGGGTTGGGTCGGGTTGGCGATATTTTTAAGTAAAAACGCAACCCAACACAAAATATGTAATTATTCCACACATAAAAATATTTTATAACAAAATAAAAATTCAAAATAAAAAACCGAGGTGAAAGGTATCAAAAACGACAAATATTGTTTGAATTTTAATAAAACTTGATTTACTTCAACTTATGTCTAGTTTTTTTCACGACATTTGTTGAAATAGGCTAAAAAGTTACAAATGAACGCATCCATAATATGATATTCTTTTAAAATTGTACACAAGAAGAAAAAATACGTGAATCATAGCTATATTAAATATATGTCTAAACTTTAAGTCGAAGAATGCATTAGATTAGTGAGACTTTAAAAGAAAAACATGGCGAAATATCTTAATTTTCTCATAATTATGACTATATACGACATAAATTTTTTTTTTTATACGAACTCATACCAATAATTGGAACACGGGTTGGGTCGGGTTCTACGGGTTGTGTAATACAAAATCCAAACCCAACCCAAAAGAGGCGGGTTGTACAAAAGAAAACCCTCACCCAACCCAAAACCTTCGATTTAGCGATAAATACGGTTGGGTTGGGTTGGATGGGTGGGTTTGATGGTGTGTTTGTTCACCCCTAAGTACGATAGCAAGTGCAGAACTGCATCTTATGCAATCATTTGTGGCGACTTGAACGAAATAAAAGGGTCTTATAGACTTGACTCGTTACAACAGAAAGGAACGAGTTCAAGCGAACAGAATAAACATCCATAGAAAGCCAAATGGCCAGATCTTGCCAAACTGAAGAGCACAATGTTATCAGTTAAATTACTGTTGTGCCTACAGAAACAAAATACAAAAATCACCAAAAAAAGAAAAAAAATCCAGTTTTCTTTAAAGTATGGTTTCACTCCCCATCCAAGAACTCTTATTGCTACTCTGGTGACATCAAGGTTTGACTCCAAAACTCATCCAATATGAGACATCCAAACAGGCTATAAAGCAGAGTTTAGCCGCTCATTCTGCGGGTCTTTGTCCCAAAACTGAAATGTCTTCATAGCGTTTCTGCAGCAGGAAACAACAAAGTAACTCAGAGAAAGGAAATAAAATTAGCATTCCAAAGATGATTCCAAGGATAAGCCACCAAAGTCTGATTCTTTTTTCTGCCTTGAGCAAGGAATGCAGACACCGTGAGTACGATACAACAAGAGAGTTGCTGAGTGCAGATAGGAAGACTAAGATTACAGCATCACACAAGCCCGGAATAAATGCAGATAGAAAGAAAATCAATAACTTCTGAGACCACTGTGTGATTAGCCAAATAAAGACATCTTCATAACCACGAAATGCATAATATGCTACGCCATTCACAAGTGCAGAAGCACCCCTATACAACCATGCACATACTGAGTCAAACATTGAGGGTTTGTCCTGACAACTTAATGTTAGCAAACTGATAAACAAACATCAACTTGGAAGTTTATCTGTCAATGGAATCTAACAACAATGGTTTGAACAAGTCCAAGGAAGAACCTAAACAGCAATGGTCCGAGCAAGTCTAAGGAAGAACCTAAACAGCAATGGTTCTAGGCTAGTGTATCTCAGCAAAAAGGGTATACACAAATTACAAGTGGTCGAAAAACCACAGGTTAGCTATTCTTGAAGATCAAGAAACTATGAAAAGGTTAGATCACAAAACATTGTCATCAACAATAATGACACCCTTAGTAGGGTTCAAAGTAGACTTTTACAAAATAGTTCATCTCCATTCCCGTATCATTTCAACTTCTTTCACAAAGCATTTGGTTTTCTTTTATGAATCACAAAGCATTTGTTTTACGCAGAGGTTATGCAAATGATGAATTAACGCAATCAATGCAGGTGTGCGACAGGTACAAAAAGAACATCCGTGAAAAATAGAAAGGTAGCGAAATTCAAGAGCAATACCCCAACATTGTTGTACTCCCACAGCTTGTGAACTCCATAATCCACAGCCTGCACCAACCACATGAAGCGCTTTCCCATTAATGAGACGAATTCATCATTAAACTCCCAGCATTCACCACCCAATTCTTACAAATAAACAACGACTACCAAACATCTCAATCAGGCACTCTAAAATAGTACTATCTAATGCATGTGAAAAGCTCGGCGAGAACACGCTGTTCAGATCCGCGTCCCAGTGTTGCCCATAAATGATTCCAAATACTAAGAACAAATAGCTCAAAGCGCCCTCTGAATCATCAAGGGAATCGAGATAATTTTCCAGTAATTCCAATCACAATTTCCCGGGAACAGAACAATCAATTCGTTACATTTCTCAAGCATTCACAAAGTCAACACGAAGAATCAAATGACATAAAATCGTCGAAATAAGGGAATCGATCTAAAAACGTACCCGTTCTCCGAAGAAAGCACCGGCGAGGACAAACGTGGCATAGACGGAGGTCCGGCGCATGAAAACCTTGTAGATGCCTTCGAAAAGGCCACTTTGAGCTCTTCGAGGTACGTATTCCATGGTGACTAGCCTCGATTACGCTGTTCGGATCTGTCCTCTAGGGTTTGCAGAGACAAAGGGAAAACGGGAAAAGAAGAGATGCGTCTGCTTGCTACCAGAGAAATTTCGACGATGGCGATGAAGAAATTGTTTTCTCTTTTTTAATTGAGATAACCGGGCAAGTCAGCGGATCCAGCCCAGTTGTTGGGCCTGGTATATTGCTCAGTCATGGGCTCATGGCCCACGACTTTCTCCCTCGCATTTATTACTTTCTTTTTCCGTTTACCCTCCCATATTATTTTTCTTTTCATAAAGACCCCTCCTCTCCTCTGGTTTAAGTACTAATTAGTAATTATTAATTTATTATAGGGGCTTATTCGTTAACTATTCATAATATAAGACTTATTTAGCTATTCAAGCAAATTTTATTAACCAACCTTTTCAGTGCTGAAGACTCGATGTCAGCGTGACGTGTGGTTTGGAGGAGGAACTTCGTCATACTTCTGTGCGAGAGCCACAGTTTTCGCCATTAAAGTTTGAAACTTCGACCTGAGAGTATCCCAAGCCAAGCAGTCTGCTGGAGAATTTACCAGGAAGGAAGATCCTTGCCACGATGGATTTTAACGATGAGGGCTCCCACTTCGAGCTCAAGGAGATTCAGACACTTAGTGGTCACACCGATAGGGTTTGGAGTCTGGCCTGGAATCCGGCCACCGGAACTGACGACACGCAGCCGGTTATTGCTTCCTGTAGCGGCGATAAGACTGTCCGAATCTGGGAACGGAGTGCCTTAACTCGTTCTTGGGACTGCAAGGTTTTGACTTCCTGTTTCTTTTTTGTTTTTTCTTTTCTCTGATTTTGCCTATGTATGATAAGGGTTAGGCGAGAGTGATATAGAACGAGGAAGCTAAGCTTCATTGGTTGATTTTCTTTTACATATCAATCACATGAAGCAGTAAGGAAGTTTGATATAGTGTTTCTCTACGAAATTTTCAGTATGCATCTCGTTAAGTCTGGAGTGTCGACATATCTTTTTAGCTAAATTGAGATGATTAGCTATTGAAGTTGGATTCAGCAATGGATATTTGCTGTTGATAATGATAAGTGGAGTTAGTTGATTTCGCATTGGAACTCAAATTGGGAATGATCATGCAGGCAGTTTTGGAAGAAACACATACTAGAACAGTCCGATCGTGTACCTGGTCCCCTTCTGGGAAATTATTGGCTACAGCCAGCTTCGACGCGACCACTGCCATTTGGGAGAATGTTGGGGGTGATTTTCAATGTGTTTCCACTTTAGAGGTATGATTACTTTATCTTCGTTGCCCTTATATGCTTGTGATTCATAGGGTTTTGTCTTTCAAGTTGTCAGTTCGGTTCTCTTTAAATACGGCAGGAATGAGTAAGCGTGGTGCGGTGTAAGTCTGCTGGCTAGATAAGCAATCCTGACTCGTGGTTTCTCCTCACTTTAGTTTTCGATTTGTGGTGGTGGTCTGCTAACAGGGTCATGAAAATGAAGTCAAAAGTGTGTCTTGGAATGCGTCTGAATCTCTATTGGCGACGTGTAGTCGAGACAAAACTGTTTGGATTTGGGAAGTGATGCCAGGGAATGAATTCGAGTGTGCTTCAGTGCTGCAGGGCCACACACAAGATGTTAAGATGGTTAAGTGGCATCCAACCATGGATATTCTATTTTCCTGTAGCTATGATAATACCATTAAGGTATTGTATGTTGGAAATCCTCTACTTATATAGTTTGTGCGAGTGGCTGTTCATTGTGGCTCTTCATTTTAGTGATCAATATCAAAATGAACTGAAATTTAAAAAAAAAAAATCTGAATCAGGTCTGGGCTGAGGATGATACTGGTGATTGGCACTGCATTCAGACCATAGGTGAATCTAGCAAGTACGACCTTAAATCCCTTCCTAAAATGTATTTTCCATATATGTGTTATAAGCACTATCGTGGGTATTTTGCTGCTTTTATACTTCACATCATGAAGTGGTTACCCCTAGTTCGTCTTATATTGGTGCATCATTTCTGTGCTGCTGCTGTGAAAACCAGCTGGTTTAACTCATTTTGTTTTCTCCCCTCCTTTTCAGTGGCCACTCTTCTACTGTTTGGGCCATTTCTTTCAACGCTGAAGGGGACAAAATGGTTACATGTAGGTATGTTGAACATAGTTCCTCGCTAATAGTTAATTATAATTGCCAAGTGCATGGACAGGCAGATTTGTTTTGTTTGACACCCAAGAAAAATGAACTAAATCTAAAAGAAGCTCTTTTTTTTGTGTTCAGTGACGATCTTACCTTAAAAGTATGGGAAGCAGATATTGAGGGAATGAGATCTGGTGATGATCAAGTACTTTGGTGAGTTAAGCATTCTGTTCATTTTGTTTGAGCATGGGCTGTAATTCCAATGCTACCATAAACTTGATATATGGCCCCTGTTAATGAGACTGTTCCTTGAAGCAAGCAAAGAGGAGTGGGTTTGATGCAACATTGCGAAGTTTAATAAAAGCAGTCTGTTGTGCTAGGCCATGGTCACCACATAAGGCATCTGTAGGATTATGGCCTTTTCACTGGCATCCAATTAAATTGAAATAACTTCCTCAGCTTATGGTTCAGTAAACTAGTGTGTGTCTCTAACATATAACCATTTTCCTGTGATGATATGTTTTTAATTATTGGTTCAATTTTTCTACGATGCTATGGTTTGCTTTTCAGGAAACATATTTCTACACTCACAGGGTATCATGATCGTACAATCTTTTCAGTTCACTGGTCAAGGTAAGCTGATATGTTCAGGCAATAGTTTGATTTCCGTGTCTTTGGTGTTGGTTATTCAAGTTTCTCTCTGAGTGGCAGTACTAAATTGCTAGCATATTGCCATATCTCACAACTCCTAAGCATATATGCTATCTCATCCAATAAAGGGAAGTGGAATGAAAGAATGTTTTATCCTCGGGTGATTCATTATGGTAACACCCAGAATATCCATCCCTTTTCACTATTAAGGTCCAGATTCATTATCAACCTACTTTATGTAGTAATACTTCACTATTTCTTTTGTTATTGGATTCAAAGCTGCTAAGTAATGGTTTGTCAAGGTGTCTCTCTAATCTTAATGGACATATACAGTAGTGGGCTAGCTCATATGGTTTTTGTATTTCACATGTTGCACAATTGTTGTGCAAGTTATTTGCATGGATGTTAGACGCACACAAAAGAAAAAGAAAACAAGCCTTCTCTCATATAGTTAAATTTTATCTGCATCTCCGAGACATTCTATTTCTGTCCTAAATTGCTTGCATTTCGTTTGTGTATTTCCTTTTAAATCATGAAACTGATCCTCATCTGGTTGTTGTATTTCTCAGGGAAGGTATTATAGCCAGTGGAGCAGCAGATGATGCCATTCGGTTTTTTGTTGAAAGCAAAGACAGTGCGGTACTGGACTCTCTATTCCTTATTTGAGCTACTCATAGATTGGAAGATCACTGCTATTGTTATATCAGTTGCACTGACCATTTTGTTTATCAGATGTTATACGATTTGCAGCCAAAACTAAGTCTTTGTATACGTTCTGACACAACTAATACAAAAATATGGTCAAGGGTGGATGATGCATATGTTGCTTAGTGAAGCCTATTATTGTGAAATATCTGAGATGCCACGCTTCTTATCTTCCAAATATCTTCATCTGAAAGATCTTCTCTGTGCTCGTTTCAGGTTGATGGCCCTTCTTATAGATTGTTGTTGAAGAAGGAAAAAGCCCATGATATGGATGTAAACGTAGTGCAATGGAGCCCCGGGGTAAGATCATACTGTCTTTACAACTTAATCCTTCTGAGATGACCCTTGATACTGAAATTAGCTTTTATCATTAGTTAAGTTTGAATCTGGCAACTATACAGTGGGTGTTTCACTAATTGCAATCAACTGATGCGCTCTTAATCAGTCCTGCCACTCTTGAACTTGAGATAAAGTATCTCTCACATCTTGCTAGGGTTGTTCACATATTGCAATGATAGTAAAGCTTGCAACATTATGAGTCAAACTAATTTGATTTTATGTTCCGTGTAAGACTACTGAAGAGTTGAGGCACCATATGCATTTATAACGTGATAATTACCTGCCCACTTCATGTTATGGCCTCTGTTTTATATCGTTAGGCGCACCAAGATATGAACTTTGGCATTGTTCGAGGGTTAAATGTTGATCAAACTGAATTCACACTGGCAGGAAAATCGGGTGTTGGCTTCTGCAAGTGATGATGGCACGATAAAGATATGGGAATTAGCAACCAATAGTACTTGATGAACAGACAGAGTCTTTTAATCTGTGCAGGATCAAGCATCAATGGTGTTGTATTATTTATCTGAGCTGGGAGAATTGTTGTTCCATTCTACCGAAAGCTATCTCGTTATGAGATGATACAGCTCAAATAGCTTTTAGGTCCAAAGTATAATCTCCTACACTGCTTTCTTATTGTTTCGACTCATCCTCAAATGTAACGAATCGACCAAAACTATAGCAGAACTGCAATTCGAGTCGGTAAGCTGATGAAAGTTTCTATATTCACTGTGATTAAAGCATTGCACTTCTTGTACTTATTTCCCTTGCTGAAATTTGTTTCATAGCAAATTAATAAGTAGATGTGTGTTCAATACATGGAAGGGAAAACTCTCATTGTGAAGAAGTATGAAGATGCCAACAAATACACGAGAATGGAAATACAGAAGAACTCAAAAGAGGACGAATGTTCATATGCAGTGCTCATTATTGCTCTACAGTTTTTGATCATTTCAACACCTGTTTCCAATGCTCAATCCCTGGGGACTTGGAGTCCTTAACCTAGTCCTCAATCCCTGCTGAGCTGCGAGAGCATCACGAGCCGACATGATGCCATTCGACACGATCGTAGCGTCGAAGGCAGAACAGTCGATCCAATCCTTGAGCAGCTCTTCCTGTCCCCAAGTCTCTGGGATCCAAACTCGTCCGGCCACTTCTACCCTGTGCCTCTTCAGCTTCTCCCGCCCACACCACCCGTCTTCCTCTTCCTGCAGCAACGGTGGCGTTGTTGTTGTTGCTGTTGTTGTTGCAGTTTCCTCCACCACCACTGCTCCGTCCCTGCCAGTAATGCTACTGTCCAACCCCTGCCCTGCTGTTGCTGCTGCTTGTTCTTCGTTGTAATCGCGACTAAGGGGATTCGAAGGCGACGAGGAGGAAGTTATGCTTGTGCCATGCCTGTCCTTTGCTTTCTTCTCTTGCTGGTGGCTCTCTGGTGTGGTGTTAACACAATGGCTAGATGATGCTAGTACTGTTGCGTGAGCTTCTTCAGCTGTAGATTCCAAGGGGTATTCTCCACTGGGATTCATGGTGCCTGAGCTTGTTGTCAAACTCTTCGACGTACTCGACATCCTAGGTAGCGTTGAAGCGGGAAGAAGAAGAAGAAGAAGTTGCGGGATGGGATGGAATGATTGCAGCAAGTAGAGAGAAATGGTGGTGGAAAGGGAAGAAGATAGATGGAGGGTTGGGAGGGAGGGAGGGAGGAATAATGGGTGAGGGGAAGTTAGATTAGACGTCAAAGCTGTCCCTTTGAAAGTGTAATGTGAGTGGCAAGTGACAAAGGAACGTGTCTCCGTTGTTCTGTGTTTGTGGGAGAATGAGAGCTTCAACTTGTGTCAAGCTAAACCACCTCTGCTCTGCCCCCTTCCACCAGTTTGGATGGTTTAAATCACAATAAACCTGGTTTGAGGATTTTTTTTAGAAATACCACTAAAAAGAAAAAAAATAAAAAATACAACCTATTTCCAAAATTTTCCAAAAATACCATTTTTTGAAAACCGTATGGTGGGCACGTAGTTTTTTTATGTAAACCGCATGTGTGGGGGCGGTTTTGGTGATCGCATGGGGTCGGGGTGGTTTGGTTCAAAACCGTTGCCCCACCCAGCGGTTTGGTCCCTTTTTCTCGATAAATCCTAACATAGGTGGAAACTTCAAACTAACGTATCTTTGTGCTCGGGTATCCGATCGTAGCGAAATTTTTTTTGATTCCGCATAACTTTTCGAGATCTTACGGTTTTCGAGAAATGGTGGTATTTTTGGAAAATTTCAAAAATGGATGATATTTTTTGAATTTTTTTCTTTTTAGGGGCATTTCTAGAAAAAGTCCCTGGTTTTATATGATTCACATAAATTCACATTTTTTTATATTCATAATATTCAAGTGATTAGTGATCAAATCGTAGATAAGTTTGGTTGGAACCGAACAAACCATTGCACACTCCTAGAACAAGACCAGATGAATAAAGGAAAGGACATAGATCATCATCAACTTCAATTTGCATGACCCAAAAAAAAGATACTTGCAATTGTACCCTCTTTCTTTTCTTTTATGGAGAATTTTTTTTAATAATAAATTGTTGGTGGGGAAGGAGGGAATTGTGAGGTGGATGTTTGATCTTGGCTTGGTGTGGAGGAGAGGAAGCGGTCTATGATATTTGGATGGGAGGGGGCCAATGAGGTTCTAGGGTTTTATTTTTATCCCATTTTTGTTCCTTTGGACAAGAGATTTTGAATTGTATTATATGAAGCTTTGCTTGCTTTTCTATGGTTTGGTTGGGAAGTTCCAACTATCATTAATGGGATGGAGACTATTTTCTTTCTTCTTCCTTCCCTAATTTCGCTTTTCTTTTCCCCACCTCTATTTTTTTTTTTCAGTTACCATAAAAGGAAGATTTTTATTTTTGTTTTCTTTTGATAAGAAAAGGACGTAAAAGCACCATCACAAGGAATGATGATGAAAGCACGAATATTACAACGCTCATACTTGTCACACATTAATTACGAGTGATTGTTTGTCAAGTAATACTTACAAATTTGGAATGAAATATGTCGGGTTTTTTAAAACAAGATAAGTCTTCAGAATATGGTCAGCCTGTAGTATTACAAAGAAGATAATAATAAACGATAGTCCGTATGCAACTGGACTCCTGATAAAAGAGTTTGTTTTATCATGAAGTGAACAGTTATATTGAAGCTCCGAAGAGCAAAAAGACACGAGACTGGCTTAAAGGAAGAGAAAAGAGAGTGGACTTCCTCTAAGACAGCTCTTGCTCTGCAATATGAAGATCTCCTTGAAGTAGCATAAGTGATGACCAGTTGGGAATCTCCCCAAAAGGAAACAGTGGAAAAATTATGATGAAAGTACCATTTCATGGCATCACATAAGGCAAGCGGTTCTGAGGTATAGGCATCGGTAAATCCAATATAAGCTTTACCAAAGGTAAAAAGAACGGTTCCATCACTTGTGAAGCCGATGAAACCAGTTGCACACCCTTGCTGTGCTTTTGTGGCCCCATCAAAGCGAACCAAACTACCTTCACTAGTATAGCTTATCTCCAATCCTCGAGTCTGAGAACCTTGCCTTGTGGAAGAATACACTGTTGACCTTTGCACCCGTCGAGACTTCTGAACCTTTTGTACCTTTGTCGTTTCCCATTCCTCCACACATGAGTTGTTAGTTGCCTGTACAGGACCTGGGATTGATATGAAATATGCTCATAAGTAGGGGTGAAAATCGGTACGGTATCGGTATCCCAATACCAAATACTGAAATCTCGGACACTGAATTACACCCTAAACTCAATCTCAATCTCAATCCCTAAATAATTTCGGTATCTCAATCCCAATCCCGAAATATTTCGGTATCTCAATCAGTACTTTCGTTTCCCAATCGGTATTATCGAATACGAAATTAATTACCTTTGCAATTAAAAATTAAATATATAAATTAGATTTAATTGTTTAATTTAGGGCAAAGAGACTAAGTAAAGAGTCTTGAGTTTGCATCTTTGATTTGACGAATTGGGGGTTGAGAGACGGCTAATGCTAGTGTTTGCTTATTGGTGTTATGAAAATAACAAGAGATATTAGGTGAGAAACGAGAGTGACTTAAATTGGAAAGTCAAATTTGAGTTGGATGGGGACTTCTAAGTTGTGAAATAGTGATGGAATGATCAATGTATAATTAAATGACACTCTTGGTGGTTGAGGGTCGTGTAGTAGTTAATGAGAGAGTCCAGTTGAGAGGATAAAATACACACTAGCTTATATTTTGGTATTTCGGTATATACTGATCCCAATCCCGTAATCCCTAATACCGAATAACAATTAAAATTCAATCTCAATCTCAATCCCAAGAAATAATACGTGTATTCGCTAATACCAAATATAGACAAATTTGGTACGGTATTCGGTATGTCCCAAATACCGGTACCAAACTTCCAGCCCTACCCATAAGTGGCCTTGCATCGCCCTTCCATATTCTCCAAATGAGGAATACTGTGAAGGCAACATCACTCTTGGATATGTGACGGGTAAGAAATATGTTTCTCCAAGATAAATCCAACGAGGTTCTCTTCATCGTATCTCGAAGTTGGTCTAAACCTGTCATCAACCACAGTTCGCTAGTGATTCTACAGTCAAAATAACAGTGTTTGAGGTCTTCAATTTCCTCACAACATATAGGACATGAATTGGAGATAATTTTTTTTGTAATGCAATATCCCCGTAACGGAAAGGAAGCCATTGACCAACCTCCATAAAAAAAATGCAAGCTTGGGAGACACTGAGATACTCCACAAGTAGGGTTGGAAGTTTGGTACCGGTATTTGGGATATACTGAATACCGTACCGAATTTATCACTATTTGGTATTACCGAATACCAACTTATTTTTTAGGGATTGGAATTGGGATTCATTTTGGAGTGTTATTCGGTATTCGGGATTACGGGATTGGGATCGATATATACCGAAATACCAAAAAATACCGAAAAAAAAAAATGAAATATAGCATACAACCTTTAGTCATTCCTCAGTCTTTCACAACTTAGAAACCCCTATCCAACTCAATTTTGACTTTTCAATTTAAATCACTCTCGTCTCTCACCAATATCTTGTTATTTTCATAACACCAAAAGGCAAACACTAGCATTAGTCGTCTCTCAGCCTCCAATTCGTCAAATAAAAGATTATCAATGGCAAGAATTTGAGATGTCACCTCTCCTCCATTCTTCATATCCATATCCTAGCTCTAAGGCAAACTCAAGACTCTATGCTTAGTCTTTTTGCCCTAAATTAAACAATCAAATTTAGTTCATATATTTGATTATAAATTGCCAAGTTAATTAATTTTGCGTTCGATAATACCGATTGAGATACCAAAATTTTTAGGGATTGGGATCCCGAAGTTATTTAGGGATTGGGATTTGGATTGATTTAGGATGTAATTCGGTATTCTGGATAACGGTATTTGGTATTGAAATACCGATACCGTACCGATTTCCACTCCTATCCACGTCCACAAGTACTTCCAAATTTTTGTATCCAAAAAATCTAGGATATCTTATGAGGAAGGTTAATCTCATATATAAGCAAAGAATTACAGAATTTTACTGTATATCTCTAGCTTATCATCTCGAGGGCAAGATGGGAGTGGGATGGATAAACTCTTTTCTATAGTAGATGGATAAAATACGGATGAAAAGGATTTTGTTGGCTAAAGACTAATTATTAGCCAAACCTTTCAAAATACAAACTATTAGTCAACTTTTTTGTAACACATCAAAATATAAGATATTTTCTACAAAAATAAAAATATATTAGTCATTTCTCTGTTACCGTTAAATCATTTTTGTAACTCTTTTCTTACTTAAAATCAAGGTTCTAAAAGGCGCTAGGCGTAAGGCAGACGCTCGGCTCCTGACTTGCGCCTTACCCGATTAGGCGTAGCCTAGGCGCGCCTAGGCGTTTAGAGCATAAATGGAAAAATTCTCAAATATTTCCTGTTTTCTGGAATAATTCATATAATCCAATTGGATATAAAATTAGCAATGCCTAGTTCTTAACAGTAAACACTTAACATAACAAATAACAAACAAATAGTGACCAATCACCTGCTAATAGGTGCTTATAGAGGCAAGAAGCTTGTGCTACGTACCGAGGAGAAGGAAAGAGCAGTAATTGACGAGTTTCGACTTTATTTCCCACTATAACAGCGAAGCGGTGTGAAGGCGAGAAGAGTGATCGATGACTTTCTCATGCGGCGACAGAGAGCAGCAAATGGGGCGAGAGCTAGGGCGGCAGACGGTAGCAGATGGGGCGAGAGCTAGGGCGGCAGACGGCATCAGATGTTACTTCCCGTGTTTCTGATTTTCTAGGGCAAGAAGCAAGTTTCTGATTTTCTAGGACAAAACGAAGAGTATTGGGTTTAACCGCCTAAGCTCGCCCAGGAACGCCCAGGCACGCCTTCTCTCCACTAGGCGCAAACTAAGCGCTATTCCTACCTACTAAGCGCTACCAGCACCTTTTACAACGCCTATGGCCAAGTCAAGGCGATCCTCCACCGTCTAGCGCCTAATTGAGCCTAGGCGTGCGCCTAGGCGGCCTTCTTGAACCCTGCTTAAAATATTAAAGTTTTGGAATGTTGGCCTCCATGTGTCTCTTCCAAGTCAGTATCATGTTGCCAAGTCAATATTACTAACAGAACTACTAAATGAAAGTTAACATTTGGCTAATATTTTGTATTTTGAAAGATTTGTTTGATATGTAAAATTGCGAGAAATATTTGGCTAATAAATAGTATTTAACTTAATATATATTATCACTTTTGACTTTGATGATCACTTGACTATTGGACTGTTTCGTTTTGTTTCACTTTGTTTACTTTTCTCACCCATCTTAGGCAACTTACCTAACATCAGTCTAGATAAGAGCAACATGATAGACTACTATTTTGCTGCAGTAAGTAAATTTCCTCCATGTCATTCATTACTCATTGGCCCCTTCCCAAACCCTAGCCCAAATATAAGTACTGGCTTCAGAAACGGCCCAGAATACACTAGTACAGAAAATAGATAAATCAAAGTCAAAGGGGCCAAAGGGATAGTTGCAGCAAATCTAGTGTTGCATGTTGATGAGTTTTGAATATGGTGCGAGTTTTATTCATTTTTTAAATTAGCGGGTTGGGTCGAGTTTGATTTTTGTCAAAACCCAATTCGTTTTTTCACCCGACTGCACCTATAAAGAAAACGTCATTTTGTATACGATCGGAACAATGTAAATAATTTATGAATGTTATTAGTTTTCATAGCAATATAAACCTAACAATATGGATAATTTATGAATGCTAGTAGTTTTTATGGAGATATATTTATAGGGAAAAGTTTGATAACATTACAATATGAGTGTTCGAAGAATTAATGTATGGTTATATTCGTGAACGGTGAACCCATGGGTACTGTCACAGACCAACTCTTGGTCGTGCGGCACTTAGCACTCAAGTCTCCTTAGAGCACTAAGTCAGCCTAGCTCGCATTCACTCAAACTCACAAGTGTAGAGAAAACTCTAGAGATGGAAACTCTCGATTTCTGGATGAATGAAAAATGAGGGAGAGGGTTGCTTATATAGGCTTCCTCTCCACTTAGTACAATGTATGTACTCTCATGGCCCCAAGATATAGCGCTCTCTTTCGTCGAGACTTCGAGCTTCTCTCCTGCTCTATCTTGGTCCATGCATTGCAGAATAAGCCTTAAGAGCTATGTGTGCCTCTCTTAATAGTGGCACCTTGCTTATTTTCTCTGCTCCAAAGATGAATATCGCATTCTCGAAGGGAATTGGAAAATCCCTCTTCTTGTCCATGAAGTACATGTTGATGACGATTGGATAATCATCCACCGATACCACTTGAAACTCCGCTTCCCCCACCCAATCTCCAAGGGTGATCCACACATTTCGAGCGACTCCATGTGTTGGTGTGGCTTCCGAATTCACCGTCTTCAGCCACCCTCTCCTCAGATCGTACAGGATGCTAAGCCTCTGCGCTTCATCCACGTCGAGGAAATTGTCACTGGCTCCGGTGTCCACCAAAGCCTTTGTCTTTCCCTTGTTGAGCTTTGTTTCTACGAAGCATTGCCCCTTATCCTCGATAAGAGGAGGACCTTCCTTCCCCTTCATTGCGCCTAACACCCTTAGGCCACCCAATTTTGAAGTTTGGTCCTCCATTCTTGGAGCCTCCTCCTCTTCCGAGTTATCTTCCAAGAGCATCGCGGCGAACTTACTCCTCCTGGGACAATCTCTTACACGATGTGGGCCATCACAAAGAAAGCAAGAAATAGGTTTATCAACCATTCTCCCCTTACCTCCTTTGTTTTGAGTCACCACGTTGTTGTGTCCTCTTTCCCTCGTTGGAGTAGTTGTCATGGTCTCTCCCACCGTTGTTGTCGAATACCTCTTGCTCCTCCGGCCTCTGATACTCGACAAGGGACTCAGCGATCGCCATTGTTGAGGCAAGGTCTTGCACACCTCGTGTTTGTAGCTCCAACCTCACCCATGGTTGCAAGCCGTACAAGAACGCGAACAAGGCCTCCTTGTCCGGATAATCGGAGATCTCAAGTAGCAATTCTAAGAATTCTTTGACATACTCACGAATTCTTCCGGTGTGGGTGAGTTGTCGTAGCTTCGCACGAGCCTCCATTTTCACATTCTCCCGATAAAATTGCTTCTTGATTTCTCTACAGAAATCCTCCCACGTGTTCATCTCACACATGCCTCTATTGATGTCTCCTTAACGTCTCCTCCACCACACCATGGCCGTATCGACCAAGTAAAGTGAGGCGGTGCGCACCATGACCCCGTTGTAGTTGATACCGGGAGCCTTGAAATATTGTTTAAGACTCTAGAGGAAATTCTCTAATTCCCTCGCATTCCTCGACCCACCGAAATTCTTCGACCTTTGAACATCCATTCGTGGGGTAAATTGCGTCGTGGAAGGTCTGTTAGCCACCGCTCGCTTGACGAGATTGAACTCCCCTTGAAGCTCGTCAAACTCCTCACTTATGTTGGCCACCTCTGCCCGAACCGTCTCCTTTAAAGAGTCGATGGCGTCGGTGATGATGTTTAGAATCTCATTTCGAGAAGCTTCCAACCCCACCTCCAAACCCGTCATTCGAGCAACCACACCTTGCACATCGCCCTTCAAGGTCTGCACCTTCGTGCCGACTTGGTCGCATGGTGATGTGGTCCACAACCTTCACCTCCGCCTTCAAGAGCCTCTCCTCGAGAGTCACCAAGGGCTCACGAGTTGAATTGTCTCTCTTCGTCTTGGTTGTATCCTTTTTTTGCTCACGACCGCGTTGTTGCTCTTCGTTGAGAACTTCGCTTCTGGATCCAGCCATCTCTTCGAGGTTCTTTCTCACTTTATGAGTCACGACCTAACTCTCATACCACCTGTCACGGACCAACTCTTGACCGTTTGGCACTTAGCACTCAAGTCTCGTTAGAGCACTAAGTCAGCCTAGCTCGCATACACTCAAACTCAATAGTGTAGAGAAAACTCTAGAGATGTAAACTCTCAATTTCTGGATGAATGAAAAATGAGGGAGATGGTTTCTTATATAGGCATCCTCTCCACTTAGTACAATGTATGTAGGCCATCATTAATGAATGAACCTAGATAGTCCCCCATACATGAACAGTAATTAATAAGGTGAATGTATGTTCACCCATACATGAATCATAATAAATAGGGAGGATGCATGTGCATGAGTGCATGAATCTAGAGATACATGCATGCACCTACATCCTTTTAGAGCATTCTAGAATTTTCCCGTGACAGTACCCGATGGGTTGGATTGAGTTCTCACTTCTAAAACACAATGAATATATTACTGATTTTTTAATTGATGCACCCACTGAATTTGTTTTGGATTTAGAGAAACTCGATCTAACTCAATCTATCGCAATCTCTATTTAGTCTCGTTGGTGAACGCAAGTTTAGGGAATGGGACCAGAATGCAATCCCTCGTTACCTCCATAGGATGATGTTAGCTCTATCTTTAGAGTGCAAATAGGACCAATTGATGGCAAAGACTTCTGGGGGTGGAAGTTCACTAACTCATGGAAGTTTACGGTCAAAATGGCCTACCATGCTTTCCATAATTTGATTTTTGGTAGAGTTGACCATCTTTCTCGAATGTCTCAACTTGACAGAGATTGATGGAAATGGGTGTGGAGCCTATCCCTTACATCGAAGCTTCAATTTTTATATGGAGATGCGAAAGAAAGTTAAACGCTGCGAAAAATAACTTGAGGAGCAGGAAATGCGCGCATAATTCGAATTGTTCGTGATGTAACATCATAGATGAATCTATGTTCCACTGTCTCTTCTCTTGTCAGCATGCAACAAATGTTTGGATCGGATTATTCCCTTCTTTTCCGCTCCCATCAACTTCTTCCTTCTTCCTTCTTCCTTTATTGGTTTTGAAAAGCAAGGAATGTGCTTGTGTTCAGGAAAAGCATCCCTTCCGATTACAGCACCACCCACATAGCAGGTATTCGGGAGTATCGTGAATGGTCAACATGCCTCGATCCACCTCCCTCTTCCCAACACCTACGGAGTCAACCCAGAGGGCTCCATCATCATCATCCAGGCTCACCGCCACGAAATTCCTAATTGGGGATTCATTGTGATGGATCATTTTTACATGATTCTCAGGAGATGGTTTTTGGTATTGTTCTCATTAACACATGTTTGTCATGGACAGGTTGGCTCTATTTTCAGTTCATCTCCAATTGAAGCGGAATCCAGAGCACTCCTAGAAGATATCAAGATTGCAAAGAATAGTAACCTCTCATGCGTTGTTCATTCTGACTACGAGACTCTTGTCAAAGCCATTTACTCTAGTCAGGCTTCTTGGCCATGAAAATGTTTCGCTATTGCGGCAACCATGCAAAGTATCATGTCATCAACTAAACTCATCAAGCTGGAAGTTTTCCTCGTCACCTGAATTCCAGAACGAATTAGACAACTAGATCTCAAGCTCATTCCACTCCTCCTCGTGATTGAATTACTATTCTGGATATCATTTCACATCATATCTAATGTACATTGCTTGTAACTCAATCGTTTATAAATGAAATTCTATTCCTTTGTAAAAAGAAAAAACACTGATTGGAAGTTAGGAACAAAGGCATATCCACTCCCTTCCATCCTTTGATGGGACAAGTGCCCACAAGGTTATGTCTGATGTCTCCTTCCCTCAGTCTCTTCTTCTGTTTAGTTTTTGGTAATCTCTCATTTTCCCATTACTAGTCTGTGTCTTGTCAATTGTCATTGTGCAAAAATCTAATCTCATATTCTCATTATCCCTCTTCCATCAAATGTGGAATTCACAGGGAAGAAAATCCTTACTGATATGGAGAAGTAGTCGCAACACAAAAAAAAAAGAAAAAAAAAACTGGCTCTAGTGGAGCATAAATGAGTTATTAACAATCACTTCTTTCTTCTGAAACAAAAGTATCTTAAAAATATACAATAATTTTATAAAAAACAACTAGTTGAGAAAACAAGGTAAATTTACAAAAACAATTAATCGAACAAATAGTTGATCAGCGACTCACTGCAAAGTAGTTTTTCCATCCTGAAGAATACCTACTTATCATCTATAACTGGTTGTTCGCGCAAAATGCAGTAAAATCGCGATTCTACGCAGAAGGTTTTTGGTGACCTAGAAACGCAAAAAAGTAAGATTTTAAGTTTTAAAATGTTGATTTTGACTACATTTGCAAGTGTGAAAACATAAATTATAACATTTAAAGCGTGATTTCATTGAATTAAAAATACAATTGCACTTAGTTTAAATAGGAGTGTAGAAGGCATCAGGGAGTGCCAAACTTGGAACACACACCTTTGGATTGCAGTGCTGTATTATCCGGACGATTCAGACTCAAATAAAATCTGGTCACCAACGAATTATCTTCATCAAATGACAAATATTACTCCCTCGACGTTTTAATTTGTGGTAAGGATAATTAACAGAGAATGCAGATATGAAGCCCATTTCACACAGGACAAACGATGATGGTTAGGGTCCAACAAAGACGGCCCAAATCAAGTCCACCACCCATTGAGGAATATGACCAAATCAACCAGTCGCATGAATGAAATCGCTGCCCAGAAAGCAACACCCATGCCATGAATGATTGACCTCCACAACTGAAACAGCTCAAGTTAATGGATCAACTCAACACAGGCTAGTCGATGAACGGGAAGGCCAGCCATAGCTGAAGGTCAAACAGACTCTTAGGCTCAAACCCCCACAGCCCTCTTGCCTCTACGGAGAGCAAAGGTAAGTCCTCGTCTTTCACATGCTGTTCATTTCTATGCTACTCCATAAACACAGATCACTAGCTTCACTAAGATGTCTATGGACCCAGAAACCAATCCATGATTTTCGAAAAATATAACTCATAGGTCGGAATCAATACTATGTACAAGCCACGTAGGATCGTAGCCTGATCAGATTCATGAGATTATTGAAGCATTCAGGACAGGGGTAAGAAGAAGAAAACACACAACTACTGACTGGTCTTCTCTAGAGATTCTAATGATATACACCACAAACAAAAACAGTACCTAACCTTATTATGGATGGCTATATAATCAGACACAAACCTTGTAGATGTCGCTGTTGATTTGAGGAACTCTGATAGAGATACCGTACAGCACAATACTACATGGACCCTGGGAAAGGGGATGTTTTCTCTGTTGAATTGTGGAAACCGACATCTGCTTGCAAATGAAGAGGGAGAGCCTGCAAAAGGATTGATTTATGCTCTTGGGAAACGAGAACGCCCCTTCTTCCTCAGAAACTCAGGGATCTCTACCGAACCACCTTCGGTAAATGAGAATGGTCGTCTGTTCATTCCATCCTTGCCATCTCCTCCTGACCCTACCTTATTCGCCTGCATTTTGGTTGAGTATTATCGTACTACCCTAGAGAGGGAAGAAAGGAAGGAGGGAGTAGTGGAAGAGGGGGAGAGAGGACCTGGAGGGGCCTGCTTTCAGTTTCTTCTTGGCGCTTGAACCCAGTTGCAATAAGAGTTATGCTGACCTGGATGAGACATGGGGCGATGAACAGTTAGCCCAAGTCATTCTCAACTCTAATTCAGAAGACACAATGAGCACCGCTGCGAAAATAGCTATGGTGGAGTGGAAAGCACACATTCAAGTTGGCTAAAAATTGCAGTCAAGGCAATCACATACTTGACCGGTAAATGATGGATCTATGACAGCTCCAAATATCAAATTTGCAGTTGGATCTACAAGATCATATATAACCTCTGCCGCAGCATTCACCTGAAAATATCAAAGGGAATAAAGACAAGGTAAAACCAATCATGCATGTTCTGGATACAGAATTACAGATGCAAAGTGGAAAATAGTTGATTTAGGCTACAGCCTGAGTATACAGAAAATCGTAATACTAATCCTAACAATTGGTAGAAGCCAGGCACATAAGAGATTGCTAGCCATTTAATAGTATGTTTATGGCATATAAAGATGTTGCACGAATTTGCTAACTGGTTCTAAAAGGTACATTCTGTGTAGCCAACAAAGACAGATGCTTCAGGTCTGCAATATTTTTCACTTGAAATTTATTTATAGCAGCCCGGAAAAGTGATATAGGGCTTTATAACTTGATCCTACATTAAGAAGGAAGCATATGGAGTTCATGTCTGAAACTAATGCTCAAAGGCATACCTCAAACAAAGTTAAATCATTTCCACCAGTAATGTTCCATACAATTCCAGTTGCACGCTCTATGCCAAGATCAAGTAATGGCGATTGAATTGCGTTTAAGGCAGCATCCCTTGCCCTTGTTTGACCTATAGACAGATAGAGGGAGAACAAGAAAACAGTAGAGATTAATTATTTGTGCTCTTGAATTGATGGTGTCTGAAACAAGCAACACCAATTTTAGACATTAACTGAGCGCATAATGATGGAAGTTTGATAGTTAATAAATTTCATTCGTTGGGAAATGAATACAGGAAGGATTGTTTACCTCCTGGGTTTTCTAGATAACCCAATTGGTGTATTTGCAGCCTCATGTAGCAGTAAGAACCCAAGATGAGGTTTAGTGTAATTAATTACCTGTCGCTGTTCCTATCCCCATCAGTGAAGAACCAGCATTTGACATTATTGCCCGGACATCAGCAAAATCCACGTTGACAAGTCCTGGAATCTGCGAGTCGAGCATAAGAATGACAGTTGGTGAAATCCAAATATGAAGGTCCAGAGGAACCAAAAACAAAACTTTATCCAACTGATAACATCCTTCCAGTTAAAAGACTTCAAGGCTTTCATACTACCATTCCTTACAGATATGTTTCTATCCCAATTCGGCAGTTAGACCCATAAAGCTATCAAGTTTTGCATCATATGCCCGGATAAGTCAAAAGCAGAAACTCCTCCTACCATCCTATGGAAGATCACATTCATCCAAACGACACAAACTGCACAAGATCAGTGCAATGCTATGCAAAAATTTGCAAAGAGGGTTTTGTTGTTTACACAGCCATTAAAGGCAAGCAATGTGTAGGATTTTTGGAGCACTTAGAGACGATAGATCCACCGAAATAGTAACAACGATATATCCAGCCTTTGAAACAAATCACATACCGTAATTATATCAGAGATACCACGAACTCCCTGCCTCAGAATGTCATCAGCAAGATTAAATGCTTCTGTTACTGGAGTAGATTGGGAAACAGCAGTCAATAACTTGTCATTTGGAATGACAATCAGTGTATCAACATTATCTCTTAATGCTGCAATTCCTTCCTGCGCCTGAAGAGCTCTCCTTCGTCCCTCAAAAGAAAAGGGAGTTGTCACTATACCAACTGTCAGGATCCCCATTGCTTTTGCAATACCTGCAATTACAGGAGCCCCACCAGTACCAGTTCCTCCCCCCATTCCGGCCTGCATGTAGAAAGAAGCCAAAATGCACCAATGAAGAAAGCAATAACAAAGAAAAACCAAACTTGCCACTCTTCGGTTTTCACCTACTATATGATGTACAACTTCAGTTATATACACACTTCCCAAATGCTGCATTACTTGTGAATGACGCTGAAGAAACAATTGACATCCTACAAAAATAAATGACCTTCGAACCTAAATTACCACCAGAGACAATTGGTTTTGACCAAAACAATAATGCAGTTCTGGATATTGGACTTACTGTGACAAAAACCATGTCTGCTCCATTCAGTGCTTCTTCTATTGTCTCTTGGCTCTCTTTAGCAGCATTAGTTCCAATCTCTGGGTTACCACCAGCTCCAAGACCTCTAGTTAATTCAAGACCGATTTGCAAACGATTCTCTGGATATACAGGAGACATCCTCATTGCCTGAATATCTGTATTGACAATCCAAAACTCCACGCCCTTCATTGAGCTCTCAATCATCCGATTGACTGCATTCGACCCACCACCTCCAACACCAATAACTTTGATCTTAGCTTCACTGGAATTTGTTGAGGTAGACTGATCTACTAAGCTATCGGTGATATTGCCACAAGGAGAATCCTTCCTTGGGGTAGAAACCACATTATTTCCTTCGCCTCTGAGCAACGACACCTCCGGATGCAGATCCAGAAAAGGGTCTTTGCTGTGGTAAGGACTGACACTGTGAGAGTTAGTTGAACCTCTGACGATAGGGAAAGTCGACTTCTGGCCAGCACCCATAAACCTATTTTTATCGTCTGCGAGCTTAACCGAGCTATTGCTGGCTCTACCAGCGAGCAAGTGATTCTCCTTCGACACTCTCCCTCCGAGAACCGTCAACATTCCCGCCGGAGTTCTAGTATCAGTAGGCGAGCAATATGGCGAGACACAAGCCATCTTGCGGTCGACCAACGGGTACAGCTTCAATACAATATCAAAGTAACTATCTTTATACGCGGAGCAATTCACTTGCTAGACCTGCTTGGGACCAGAAAAAGAATAACTTTCAGCAAAAATACACGACCCAGTTCCCCAAATTACCAAGAGAGCCAGGAACCAGAAATGCCGCCGATTTGGTGAGGAGACTACAGAGGAATCGAGAAATGCAGCAATAGCTAGGTGGACAATTCAGTTGACAAGTTGTTCAAGCGGGAGAAAGGGAAGACGGAAGAACTCAAATGAGAGAAGGAACCTGTGAGAGTTGCAGAGCAGCAACGGTAGAAACAGTGCGGATGCAGCTGCCAGTCCAATGCCTCTAAAAAATCGGAGTGAGGAGGACTTGGAGAAGAAGGGTTTTAGTTGTCTCACACTTCCCCTCTCTCTGGATAATAACTCACAAGCTCCAAAAGGAGACGGGCTTTGTTTCCTTCTTGCGTTTGTTTTGGCTTCACATTCAGAAAAAGGAGAAAATAACCCCAACGGAAAAGGCGAAAACAGCAAATAAATCCTGCGCGTTTGTTGAAGAAAGCGAGATAGACGAGGAGGGCCTAGGGAGAGAGCCAAAGGAGAAGTTCGGGTACTCAAATAAAATCGAAAATTCAGAATGAAACCAACATGTAATTCATCATTTTATTTGTAGGATTATAAATAGCTTAAGAAAATGTAGGTGGAAATCAATACTCTAATATATTTATGACACTCAGTTTGGTTTGGTTAACCATGAAAAATCAAGCAAGACAAATTTACAAAAATCATATATGTTATGGACTTATGGTTAATTACGAGGGGTCGAAAAATAAGGAGTTAATAGAAAACAGAAACTGTTGCAACTCGATACTATAATTTTCTATTTAGTGTTCAATAAATCTAATCTATGAACAATTAAACTTATATTTTGTAATCTAATTGTTTAAATTAACTCATAATCTCTCAATACGAACATTCCGAAAAAATTTGAACAAATTATGAGATATTTTTGGTTTTAGTTGAAATCAATTTTTTCAAATACTTTTCATTTAATTGAAATTGTTTGTTGAATATAATCTTTGGTCTTCAAATAGAATTTGAATGGACGAAATTTACACCAAAATGAACTTCGTTGGCTGAAAAAGTCAAAAAAATACAAAGCACACAATTTTAATTTAATTAATTAAAAAAGGAGGTGATAGGTTGCACGCTTGCGGGCTACCCAATGTGGCTGCTGCGTGCAACCCATCACTCGCAAGGCACGTTTCTCTCTTTTGTTCGCATGGGTCAGCTTTTTTAAAGTGACGGGTCCCACCCGTTTACCCTTTTTTTTTTTCCCTCACTCAAATCAAACTCATTTTAGCCCCTTAAAACTAGGGGTGAAACTTGTTCAAATCCAACTCGTGCCCTACCACAACCCTAAAATACCCAACCCTTATGGGTCAAGAATCCAACTTGGTGTGACCCTATTTCCTTTAGCCTTGTCTGACATGTACAGGTAGTAGGGATGTTAATGAGTCGAGTCGAGTCGAGTTTTTCTTTATTTGGGGTTGGCTCATTAATAAACGAGTAGAGTTTGGGTTTGGCTCATATATAAATGAGCTTAGTCGAGTCGACCTCGAGCTGACTCAGTTATCAAAATCTACTTGACGCATCATTAAGATCATGATTTCGACTCGAGCTCAACTCTAATGATGAATTATAAATTAAACCAATATATGATACACGTGATTAAACGACCATGTTATATATGATACATATTTGCTCACATACTAAAAATGTAAACATGTGAGATATACCATTTAACAAACCCATGAATAGTCAACAAGGCAACTAATAAGATATAGATCTGTTTACTACTAAAAAATATCACTCAATACCACATTGATTATTTTCAAGGAGTGGTAGTGATTTATAAGGCCAACTTAACCATATTAATTAAATTGGTGTAGGTTGGGCCTAAATAATGGTATTTTGGGCTTCATACCATGTCAAGCGTTGACACCCTTCAACATCAACCACCCAAGTGGGCACCCCACCATACTTAGCCTAATTTTCGATCTACCAGTCGCCTACCTACCTTGCGGGTAATTACCCCTAGACATGATGGGTCGAAGAAAGCCAAAATTTGGCTAAGTGTTGAGACCCACAGCACAAGGGGGGTCATGCATGACACCATCCAAGGGGTTCAAGCACAAGGGGGGTCATGCATCATATCATCCCAGGGTATGACGAGACACGAGCTAGCTGTGGTAGCAAAGAGGGCCAAAATTTGGATAAGTGTTGAGACCCACAGCACAAGAGGGGTCATGCATGACACCATCCAAGGGTGTCAAGCACAAAGGGGGTCAAGCATGACACCGTGCAAGGAAGCCAAAATTTGGCTAAGTGTTGAGACCCACAGCACAAGGGGGGTCAAGCATGACACCGTGCAAGGAAGCCAAAATTTGGCTAAGTGTTGAGACCCACAGCACAAGGGGGGTCAAGCATGACACCGTGCAAGGGGGGTCAAGCATGATACCATCGAAGGGGGTATAGCCGCCTACCAGGTATCAAAGCGTGTGGCAAGGGGAGAAGGGCAACGCAAGTCACTAGACCATGATGGGGAAGAAAGCCAAAATTTGGCTAAGTGTTGAGACCCGCAGTACAAGGGGGGTCATGCATGACACCATCCAAGGGGGTCAAGCACAAAGGGGGTCAAGCATGACACCGTGCAAGGAAGGCGAAAATTGGCTAAGTGTTGAGACCCATATCACAAGGGGGGTCATGCATGACGTCGTCCAAAGGGGTCCTAGCACTAGGGTGTCAAGCTTGGCAGCCAAGCAAGGCGACAAGGCTCAATACCAACCCGATCCAGCATCGAGGCCATCAAGCACCCACCAACCCCAAGACGGGCCAAGGAGCTCAAAGGCAATGGAGGTGAAGACCAAGACAACGGTTACCAAGGTGGTTATCAAGGTGATTACCAAGGCAGTTACTTCTAGTGGCTATAAATAGGAGAAGCGAAAACGGGAAAAGGGTTCCACAACCAATCATTTGACACACTATGTCAAAATTTATCTTTTCCCTGCAAATCAGCTTTTAGTTTTCGGAGCTCTCACTGAACCTCCATAGGAGTAGAGTAACGTAGCTTGTTCCCAAAAAACCATCAAAACATCAAACACCCTCGTTCGAACATTGTTCGGAGAGGAGTGAACCGTGTTTAGAATCGTTGTTCAAGAGGTCAAAGGTGCAAATCATTTAATTCAAACACCAATTTTTCCTCGCCGGAAAACAAGATCGATTTTCTCATAAGCGGATAGTCGCGTTGGCTTATTAATCACAATGTTGAGACATCTCATGAGCTCAAAACAAGAGAGTTCACGAGTGAGCTAAACAAGCCACTTAGTTGAGCTGGCTTACGAGCCTCACGAGTTGAACGAGGCTTTATTAAAGCTCGCCTTGTTAATAGACGAGTCAAGTTTTTTCTCAATCGTACGAGCTTATATCGATTCGAATATCGAGATGCCTCTGAACAGCTTGGCTCAATAACAACCCTAACTGCAATGTAGTTAAAATGAGTTTTTACGTAGAAACGTTTGGGCGATCTAGAAGCGTAAAATCGTAAGTTTTTAAGTTTTAAGGCGAGTTTTTAACTACATAAGTTATAAAAATGGAGATTTTGTGTAGAATCGTTTTAGTGACCTAGAAACGTAAAATCGTAAGTTTTTAAGTTTTAAAGCGCGATTTTGACTACATTGCCTAACTGGTAGGGATTCAACTGGTGGGGTCAAGCCAGTGGGTCGGTCCACATCAATAAACACATTGTTTTCTAAAAATTACATTTTGGTACCCAAACCTTGTTTTCTTACAATTTAGTAGCTAAACTTTATTTTTTGCAAAAAAGTCCAAAAAATTTGATAGTAAAATTACTTTTTAGTACCTTTATTTTTAACTTGCATTATAGTACCTAAACTTTTAAAACTTTACAAACAGGCCCAATGTGTTGTATGAGAAATTTCATATCACTAGTTATTGTTATGAGTCATAGGACTAGAAAACGAACCGACCCTCCTCGAGCCTTATAAGGCCAAAAGATGACTCGACCCTAAAGTAACCCGGTAGACAAACTAACTCAGCACGACCTTAGGGTCTGCCCAAACAGGTCGGGTCAGTAGGTATCTAGGGCTAGACTTACAACCCTACTTAAAACCCCCTTTTGGCCTTTTAGCCTTGGGTTTAACTCATGGTTAAAGCCAAATTTTGTGGACTAAAAGTCTATTTTTGACCTTTTAGACTATGGATTATAAACAACCTATTGGCCTTCTCGATTTTTGTTAATAAAAAATAAAAACCGATAAAGCTATTAATCATTATGATTTTAGTTTTGACAAATGATTTGTTGTTTCTATTTTCAATCGATCAATGAATTGCAATCGATGCCATATGTGAAATTCAGAATAAGAAAGCGTTGCAAAATAACTATAGATCTCGACGTAGAAAGGGCTCACTCTGACGTAGTAGCAATCGACGGGGCATTTTGGTGAGGAGTAGGATCATCAACATCGATGGATGGGGAGATGAGTTTTTATTAGTGAGGTGAAAGGATGGGTTGGAGCAGGTGATGCATGAATGCCGTAATGAAGTTGAACTTGAATCCATGGAGGTAGCAAAATTCTATTTTGTTGCCCCGAATTGTGGAATCAGAGTGAAAAGAAAAGATCGAAATTTTATTCAATTCGAAAAGTTTACACTTCGCAAAACAGGAACCCTAGCCAAGCCAAGAAGCTTGGCCCTTTGAAAATGAAAAGAAACACTCAAACCCCCACTTCCCAAGGATCAATCACCCGGTCCACACACCCTGTGATTGTCCTACTAAAGTTGGTACAATAACGGACCCATTGACGAACAAAGTAGATACCCAATCTCCCTCGCTCTCCACTACCAAGTTTGAATAACTCGAGTGATTCCTATTTATATGGTTGGTCAAGAAGTGACTGTTTGAGCAGACTTCATACCCGTTTCCTATGCCTTGTAGAGATCATCATTTTGAGGAGTAGAGGAGGTGGTCATCGCCCAGGTTTCTTGTGAAGGGAGCAAAGGTCTGCGAAAGTGAAAAGCTCGAGATGGAAGAAGACTTCGAATGACGATTCCCAAGCCAGGTTGCTGCTTTGTTGCTTTAGTGGTTCGACATCGTTTTGGGCAAGCAAGAGACGACATCGTTTTGAGAACCCACTTCCTTTCACATCCCATGCAACAATTTCCCCCTTCGTCCGAGAAGTGTGAGGATCCCTGCAAAATGAAAGAAAAGAGCAGTAGACTTCGATTCTAAAAGGAAACATAGTTGCATTAATGAAAACATAGGTACAGTAGGAGCATCATGGGGAAATGTGATTTACTAAATAAAGGAATATCAAAAATATTCCCCCTAGGCAAAAACATCTAAACTACTTGAAACCTAATCTCATTCCCCCTTAACAACAGCATCATCCTGAAACCAGGAGAGCAGTACAAAAGATTGCTCGACTACCTATGTAAACACAACAACAGAAGGTTAGGAGGGGGGTGCAGAGGCTAAGAGTTGCCTTCAGAAATGGTGAACACAAGGTCACCAGTCTTACTGGGTTCACCAGCAGACTTAGCCTTTTTAACAGAGGAAGGCTTAGGAGCAGGTCCAAGAAGGGAAGCAGAGGGACGAGGAGGAGGAGGAATGTTAGTAGGTAGATCAAGCACCATGAGCACATTTAGTGCACTGACATACATAGTGGAGGAGATACTCCGAAACTCAGATAAATCGACCCCCAAATTGATAAGTAGTCGGGTTATGATGTAAGCAAAGGGCATGAGCCCTTTGTAGTTTTCATCAGCCACAGGAAGGAGTTGGCCGAACATAATACTGGCGAAATCGAGCTTTCGCCTGGCAGTTGCACTGGAGATGATCCATAGATCCATATGAAGAACTCGGTCCTGGTTAAATGAGCGAGGGAAGAAGACGTGGGTGAGAAAATAATGGAAGATTCTTAGTCGAGGAGGTAACCAGGCAGCAGGAATTGGAACATCAGAGCCACCAGTTGGCTCGGTGGAGAAGTTGATGTATTCCACTTCAATTTTGAACTCGTGCTTCCAGAATTCAGAAGGATGGGCTATCCCAAGGCCTTGAGAGGGAAAACCGAGAATTGCATTCAGGGCATCAACTGGTATAGTCAACAAGTGACCATAAACCAGTGTGGTGAAGCTCCTTGAGCTCACTCCTTGGCTTTGAAGATTCAAAAAGAAGTACTTCAAGACTCCTAGACAGGCAGGGTGGAGGGGTTGACGAAGAAGGAAATCCCATCCAAGTCCTTCAATCAGGGAAATAATGTCATATTTATAGACATTAAATTCGTAGGAATCAAGCTGAGTAATATGGTGGATCCTCCTCTTATCAAAATGTTGAAGATACCGATGATGGTTCAACACCCTGGGTTCATGGAACATATATTCAGAGAAGGTGTGAACCAGTCCATCGAATCGAAAGGGACGAGGAATGCAATCGCTCATGGTTGGAAGAGCTCAAGGGTTTGCTGAGATTTTCAGGATAAGAAGGAGGTTTTTTTTATTTTAGAGGAGCGGTGATAAGATTGAGGAGAAGGGGAGAGCCTTATATAGAAAGAAAGAAGGATGGATAGAGGAGAAGCAGAAGAGTCTCCTAAGGAGAAAAGTTGGGGAAAACGTAATGATTATTGCATAGCATGCATGGCGCTGTCTTGGAACAACGCAAGCATGAGCCGAAAAAGAGAGATTTTTGTGTAACCCGAGACACGCTAAATACCCAGAGCAAAAAGGTCCAATGTGAGTGTTAGTTTACAAGATTTTTAATCTGATTAAGAGATTTGAGTCCTATCTCTGTGCATAGTTGAAGAAAACGTTCACTGGAGAGGGGTTTCGTGAATAAGACGGCTAACTGGGATTCAGTAGAGACGAATTGCAAACAGATGTGTCCTGCTTGTACTAGGTCTCTAATAAAATGGTATTTTATCTCAATGTCTTTTTTCCTAGAGTGTTGAACAGGATTCTTGGTCATGCTAATTGTACTAGTGTTGTCACAACATACCTGAATATTATTAAACTGAAAACCATAATCAGAGAGTTGAGCTTTCATCCACATGATCTGAGCACAGCAGTTTCCAGCTGCCATGTATTCAGCCTCAGCGGTCGAAAGAGAAACAGCTCCTTGTTTTTTACTAAACCACGATACCAGAGCAGGTCCAAGGAACTGTATAGTTCCTGATGTGCTTTTTATATCAACCAAACTTCCTCCAAAATCAGAATCACTATAACCTACCAGCTCAAATGAATCAGAGATTGGATACCATAAACCTACACTTCTTGTTCCCTTTAGATACCTGAATATTCTTTTTACTGCTTTGAGATGACTCTCCTTAGGGTTTGATTGAAATCTTGCACATAGTCCTACACTAAACTGAATATCAGGTCTACTGGCTGTTAAATACAGGAGAGAACCGATCATACCTCTGTATTTCTTTTCACAGACTCCTATTCCTCCTTCATCTTTGTCTAACATTAGGTTTGTTGCCATAGGAGTCAAACTCTCATTTACAGAGTTCATCTCAAATTTGTTGAGCATAGCTTCAATATAACTAGATTGATTTATAAAGATTCCAGACTTAGTTTGTTTGATTTGTAATCCAAGGAAGTGTGATAATTCTCCCATCATGCTCATTTCAAACTCTGATTTCATGCTTTCACAAAATTTTGTACACATGGAAGGGTTTGTTGAGCCAAACACAATGTCATCAACATATATTTGCACGATTAGAGTATCTGAGTTTTCCCTTTTAATAAACAGAGTCTTGTCAACATTTCCCTGACAGAACCCTTCATTTTTCAAAAAGGTGGATAATTTTTCATACCAGGCCCTGGGTGCTTGCTTTAAACCATACAAGGCCTTTGATAATTTGTATACATGATTAGGATTTTTATGGTCAATAAAACCAGGTGGTTGACTTACATACACTTCTTCTTTTATTTCGCCATTCAAGAAGGCACTTTTTACGTCCATTTGATATAAAGGAATTTTCATGTAGCAGGCATATGCACATAGCATCCTAATGGATTCAATTCGTGCAACAGGGGCAAAAGATTCTTCAAAATCAATTCCTTCTTCCTGTAGGTAACCTTGTGCCACTAGTCTGGCTTTGTTTTTAATTACTTCACCTTCTTCATCAGTTTTATTTTTGAAAACCCATTTTGTTCCTATAATTAAGCAGTCTAATGGCCGAGGAACAAGTTCCCAGACATGTAATCTAGCAAATTGAAGTAATTCTTCTTGCATAGCATTCAACCATTCATCATCATTGAGTGCTTCCTTATAATTTCTAGGTTCAAGTAAGGATACAAGTGCATACTGACCTGGTTGATACTTACCTCTGGTATGGATGCCATCCTTGAGTTGTCAAATGATTTGAGAGGGGGGATGTCGTTTTTGAATGTGTTGTGGTGCCTCCTTTTCTTTTTCCAAATCATGGCCTGGCTCACTTTTGCTACCTTGTGATTCATTTGAGATCTCTATTTCTCCCGGGTTTGGTTCTTCTGTAGAAACAGGAAACATGAAATCTATGCTTTCGGTAGACCCCTTGTTAGTTCCCATAGATTCATCAAATTTCACAAAAACCGACTCCTCAACTCGTTTGGATCTGAGATTGTATACCCTATATGCTTGACCTTTAGTTGAGTATCCTAGAAATATAGCTTGATCTGATTTGGCATCAAATTTTGAAAGATGATCTTTTGTATTGAAAATGAAGCACTTATACCCAAAGGGGTGAAAATATCCCACGCTTGGTGTTTTCTGTTTTAAGATTTCATATGGGGTCTTGTTCAAAGATTTTCTAATAAGTACCCGGTTGATTACATAGACTGCTGTCATTACAGCTTCTCCCCAGAACATTTTTGGGGTACCATATTCTAATAGCATTGTTCTAGCAGCCTCAATTATGGTTCTGTTTTTTTCTTTCTACAACACCATTTTGTTGTGGTGTTCTGGGTGCAGAGAAAGTATGATTGATTCCTCTCTCATCACACAATTCCCTAAAATGATCATATATGAACTCTCCCCCATTGTCACTCCGAATGGACTTAATTCCTCTCTCAGATTCATTAAGTATTCGATTCACAAACATTCTGAAACTGTTAAAAGCTTCATCCTTAGATGCAAGTAGGTAGACCCATGTGTATCGAGAAAAATCATCAACTAATACAAAACCATAGGACTTACCTCCAAGGCTTGCCACGTTGGTAGGCCCAAACAAATCCATGTGGATTAATTCAAAAGGTGCAGAGGTAGTTATGTCTTTCTTAGATTTAAAGCTTTTCTTAGCTAATTTGCCTCCTACACACGCATCACAAAAGAACTTGGAATGTTCTTTTAAAGTAGGAATCCCTCTAGCTGATTTCATCCTAGACAACTTTGATAGTTTTGACAAACATACATGTCCTAGTTTTCTATGCCAAAGCATTTCAGTGTCATATAGGCTAGCTTGGAAACATGTTTCATTAAAGGTTTTTAGGCAATTCAGATTAACAACATACATATTGTTTTTCTTTGTTCCACTAAATAAAAGTTTGTTGTCTTTTATCCTAATGATCTGGCAAGATTCTGACTAAAAAATTACTCTATTTTCACTCGAACATAGTTGACTTATTGACAGAAGATTATGTTTTAAACCTTTAACAAATAACACATCACTAATAGTAGGAAGAGGGTTCTTACCAACAGTTCCACTTCCCATTATTATTCCTACTCGATCATCTCCAAGGATTACTTTACCACCCTTCTTATATTTTAAAGAAGAAAACAATTCCTTGTTACCTGTCATGTGGTGGGAGCAACCACTGTCCAGAAACCATATGTTCTCATTTTCTCCCAAACTCTGCAATCAATCATTAGTTAGTACACTTTGGTACCCAAAATGTTTTGTATGTACCAGGTTTTCTTAGATCTTGTAGATCATAGCAAAATTTTGCCAAGTGGCCTTTTCTCTTACAATAAGTGCATGTATAAACAACATGATATTTTCTGTCTTGTTTATGAAAATATTTTCGAGAGTGAGTGCTTGTATTCACCGTTGATCTAAACCTATTATGTTTCTGTATGGACACATTTGCTCTGAGCCTTTGATTTTCATCAGTAAGCTCAAAAATCTGTTTATTCAGTCTTTCATGTTTTTCATCTTGAAATTTTAGTGACTTGTTTAGATTAAGGATTTCTCTTTTTAAACTCTGATTGTCAGTCATAAGCAAACAATACTTGCTTTTAAGTCTTTTACATTCTTCTTGCAGGTTTGCCAGAGCATTTAAAAAATCAGTTTTTGAAAAAATAGTATCTCCATCATTATTTCCATCTGATTCAGAGTCAGTAAGTACCTGATAGCATGATGGTGTTAATTGATCATTGCTGCTCGAAGATTGGTGATCATGCTCACCGTTGGTTGCAAAAGCCATGTAAGCAAGGTTTTTAGTTTCTTCTTCTTCTTCTGAGCTAAAGTCACTCCATGATGGTGCCAGTGCCTTTTCCTTGGCTCTTCCTCCTGCAGGACATCTTGATCTAATATGTCCTGTCTTACCACACTTATAGCAAACAGTTAGATCTTTCTCATTGGAAGACCTGTGGTCTTCCTTATCAACTTTAAACCTTTCTCGACCTTCTGATGGTTTATCATATGACCTTGGGGTGTTTTTATCTAGATATGGCCTATATGTAGTGAATCTTTCGTTTGTTTTAGTGGGGAATCTTTCCATTTCCTCCCTTTCCTTTCTGTGTTCTGAAACCTGAGTGTTATAGTGTCTAGAATCACGATATGCTCTTCTTGCTTGAAAGTCCTTTTTCATCTTGAGCATCTTATGAAATTTTATATTTACGAGGGCAAATTCTTTTTCAAACTCCTCTCCCATGTCTATTTCAGAATCACTATCATATTCTTGAGCTTTGAATGAAATAACTTTTCTTCTTCTATGATCATATTTATTCATTTGAATTATGACTTCTTCATGACTTAGTAAAGATCCGACTAGTCTTCCAATAGATAATGTATTCAAATACTTAGCTTCCTCAATAGCAGTTCGCTCAGGTAGCCATTCTCTAGGTAAGCATCTTAAAAATTTTCGAACAAGATCTTTTGTCTCAAACATTTTCCCTAGACCCTTTAGTCTATTGATCAGATCATTAAACTGTTTGTACATGCTAGAGATTGATTCTCCTAAGCTCATTTCAAAGGCTTCATATTCATTTAGCAGGACATCAATTCTACTTTCTTTAACTTCAGACGTACCTTCATGGGTTGTCTGAAGAGACTCCCAGATCTCCTTTGCAGACTCACATTGTGCAACCTGACTCCGTTCTTCAGTTTAGAGAGCTGAGAAGAGTATGTGCATAGCTCGTGAATCAAGCTGTGATGATATTTTATGTTCTTCTTTCCACTCTTCTTCATCTTCATCTTCTATGGGAACATGTCCTTTCCTCACAACCGCCCATAACTCTCCATCAACTCCTCGAAGATAAATCCTCATTCTCTTCTTCCAGACTGTATAGTTTGTTCCATCGAACCAGGGAGGATTCGTATTTGCAGAATAAGAAACTGCAGCTGATGAAGATCTAGACATCTTGAGCAACTCTCTTTGGAGATGATAAATCCTTCAAAGAGTAGGCTCTGATACCAATTGTGGAATCAGAGTGAAAAGAAAAGATCGAAATTTTATTCAATTCGAAAAGTTTACACTTCGCAAAACAGGAAGCCTAGCCAAGCCAAGAAGCTTGGCCCTTTGAAAATGAAAAGAAACACTCAAACCCCCACTTCCCAAGGATTAATCACCCGGTCAACACACCCTGTGATTGTCCTACTGAAGTTGGTACAATAACGGACCCATTGACGAACAAAGTAGATACCCAATCTCACTCGCTCTCAATTACCAAGTTTAAATAACTCGAGTGATTCCTATTTATATGGTTGGTCAAGAAGTGACGGTTTGAGCAGACCTCGGACCCGTTTCCTATGCCTTGTAGAGATCATCATTTTGAGGAGTAGAGGAGGTGGTCATCGCCCAGGTTTCTTGTGAAGGGAGCAGAGGTCTGCGAAAGTGAAAAGCTCGAGATGGAAGAAGACTTCGAATGACGATTCCCAAGCCAGGTTGCTGCTTTGTTGCTTTAGTGGTTCGATATCGTTTTGGGCAAGCAAGAGACGACACCGTTTTGAGAACCCGCTTCCTTTCACATCCCATGCAACACGAATGTTAAATGGGATGGTGGCACCGATTTAATATTCATTCGGGGCAACAAAATTCTATTGATGTTGTAGTCTCCGTACCGAGGCTCACTCGATGAAAGCATAAGAAGCAATTGGGAGGCAGCTCCTTTGCCGATACGCAGGAGCAATAGAATAAATTTTTTTATTTTGATCCAAGTAAATGATAGTGTTTGTAGTGAAATTCTTTCACTTTTGATTCATTTTGGTCTTTTCATTGTCCCAATTTGATTTAGGCTTTGTTGATTTTCGTAGATGTGATGCCTCTATGTTATTAGATGTTGTTGAGATGGAGAAACATGTCTTGGTGTCGATTCCTATGTTGATATTCTTGTTCTTGTAGTTAGGGAAACAACGGTTCAAATAACTATTCCGATTTGTTTTCCATTACTATCACGTTCGAGTTGATTTTACGGTTGAACTTATTATAGGGAGATGTAAAGTGGTTTCCCTCTCTACCCATTGTATACCGGTAGGAAAGACAGTACCAGAGCTTACAAAGGTAATGTGACATTCTAGCTTTCTTCATCCCATGATGGTCTATCTTAAGCACTTGATTATCTAATTGAGTTTCTTTTTTCCATTCAAGTTTAGTTTATGCTTTGACAACTCGGCAATTCAGGTTGAGTTGGATGGCATCACATGTATAATTACTTTTGTTAAGTTTCGTTTCTCCTTTGATGACTCCGAAATTTAGGTTGAGTTGGATTGCCCTCACAACATGTATAAATACTTTGTAAGTTTTTGGATGGAGAAGACAATGGTGCAATGAAATTGGGATTTAACTAATTTAGCTCCAACCAAAAAAAAAAGTGACCTACATTTAACCAGAGTAAAACTTAAGTGGCATGTAATGTAATTAACCCATATTTATTAGTGTTTGTTTCCACATTTCTTCTTCTCAAGCTTTTCCTTAAATTTAAAAACAAACACATTTTCAATATTTTCCTCAAACTTCAACCAAAATATCGGTCCAAAACTTACAAATTTTTTAAAATTAAACTCCTCTCGCTAAAAATTTTCATTTACAACTTTGCCCTTTTAAACATGAATTCTTAAAGTTATATTCTTAACAATCATTTCACAAAATCCTCTCACAATTTTGTTCTTAATCACACTATTCATCATTTCATCAACTACCTCTCTATTATTAAAAATTAATCACTTTCCATCAGCGTTACCTTTTCTAAAGGGATGTACTAAATGACGCCCTAAGTTTTTAAAAAACTGTCGCCCTAATCAAGCAATTTGACATGAATGCCCCTGACAATTCCCAATCCCTCGCCCTAGCATTCACGTCGTCGCGCAAGGGGAATCCCCTACGGTAAAATTGCTCCCTTCCTTTCTCAACGCTTCGGCCTTCCCTCTCCTTCCTCGCCGGCGACGGGGTGAGCAACAACAGCCATCCGCCATGGCCTTCTCTCTCCTTCCTGAACAGCGACGAGCGCCTCCATCCTCAACGGCGACGGGGCGGAGCAGTTGGGAGAATCGAGGGAAAGGAAGGGAGCGATTTCCGTTTGGAACAACGACGATGGTGATTAGGATGATGATGACAACGACGGGGAAAGAGCGGATCAGATCCGCACGCTCGCCGACCGACGAGGAGCAATTTTGCCGCCGCCGCCGGGATTTACTTGGGAGAATCGAGGGAAAGGAAGGGAGCAATTTTGCCGCAGGGGATTTCCGTTTGGAACAACGACGATGGTGATGAGGATGATGATGACGACGACGGGAAAAGGGCGGATCGGATCCGCACGCTCGCCGACCGATGGGGAGCAATTTTGCCGACCGACGGGATTTAGGGCAATGTCTCGGCGGTGGCTGTCGTTGTTCTATTTCTGCTTGGGGGCGACATATTTTGGGAATTGGGGTTTTTGGGAATTGGGGGCGGATAGGGATAGAATTGTCCGTTTAGTTATTTAGGGCGTTAAATTTTGAAAACTTAGGGCTGTGAATAGGAACCCAGTTTCTAAACCTGTAACAAACATGTGTTTCCATCACCTAATTATGAGGAGATGAAGATCCACATACAAACTTTATTTATTCTGTCTCTGTCAATGTAGGCGCTTTCTATGGTGCAGGCACGGCATTAGTGCCGCCACTTTTTCAGCCGTTTGATTTAATGTGTTAAATGAGTATTGTTGATTAATAACCATCATTTGACCACATCAGGTTGAACTTATTATGTTTGGTTGAACCTACTTATATTTCAATCTTTATATAATTATACATCTACAAGATATATAAAGGCAAAACATGGGTTGAAATTCTCTCATTTCAAATTTCGTGGCCTGAGAGCGATTCTAGGAAGGTCAGGTCACTTAAATGAAGAAAGAGTAGTGTAACCAACTAGGCTACATTTTATTTATTGTTACTTATTTTATTGAACTCTAGGAATGTGTTTGGTGATGATGCTTTTATACTTATATTTTATCTTAAGTTATTTATATTTTATATAAAGATATTAGTTCTGAAATCGAAACTCAAGTAGTATTGATTCACACATTAATATTAAATTATACGTGTTGTTTAGTTCAGACAAAATACAGAAGTGTAACCAAAACATGGACCTTTGTAACGAGTATAATCATTTTTTGTGACAAATCTACACATAATATAATGATAAAATGGGAAAATGAGAGTCTCATTTAAAATTTCATGGCTTAAGAGTGATAAAAATAAAACAAAATATTCTGAAAATAACATATAAAATTTGAATAAATGAGTAGTTTCTCACATCAACGTATGACGGGTCATATTCTAAAAAATTTATAAAATATATTCATTGTTTATTTTGATACTCAAACCTTTCAATGAATACAACTAAAAATTCATTTATAAAATCATTCTTAATTAACTTCATAGCTGAAAATTATTTTTAACAGCTTGCAGTAATAACAAACAACGTCAACAATAACTTTAGAAGTCAGTAAAGTGAAGAAGAAATTGGGATTTAGTATTTCTTTGCAAATGTGTGTGAGAGGGAGTTTTTTTTGTCTAAAAATTTTGAGAAATGGTTGAAACTCATATATCATTTGTTTGAATATTGAATATTTCATATTGAATTGGAGTATTGAACATTTTGGAACCGATATATAATTCTTAAATTATTATTAATTTTCAGGCCGGTTGACCAATAGCCTTAAACCTTTTGCTAATCTGACATGGATCCAATAATCATGATATGAGATTTAGTTTGATATGACGTCGGTTCAAAACCATTTCTTATGTGTAATGAATTTTTACGAAAAATACATGTAAAGTGAAGATGAACCTTATTATGCATTTTGATTCTCTAGATAAATACAATGGTTTAAAGCTTTAAGCGATGAACTAACTATACACTCACTCGATTGGTTTAACGAGTTCTGCTTTTTATCACTTTCAATAATTAGTTTATTCACAAGCTATCAAACTACTTTGCTCCGTCGATGAATAAGCAACCATCTATTTGCCAGGTTTCAAGTGCTCTAATTCACACTATCGATCGTGAATGGAGAAGAAGCATTTCGAACACAAAATTGGAGAAGTAATTGAGATATTTCTAGGTTTCGCTCGATTCCAAGCGGCGGGAAGAAAGAGGAAGGGAAAAGGGGGGAGAGTTGTGAGATACAAAGCTGAGAGAGAGAGATGGAAAAACAAATGGAAAAACAAAGAGGAAGGCAAATAGAGAGTGAGAGGACACATTTAAAAGAGGAGAAAAATGAGATAGTGTGAAATAATTGTCCTTCTCCTTTGATTAGTGGGTATTCTTGGCCCTATTCTGTTGAGTTTTGATTTATTTTAGAAGATGACATTATATTTGACATATTTTTTCAATTTCAATTTAAAATCCAAAATTAATATTATCATTTGAAAGATTTTTTCCTTAATACGATTAATGTATTTTTTTTAGATTTAAGGGATATTTGATAATGTCAATATTTTAGTGGTTTTTTATTTAAAGTTTGTATTGAAAGATCATATGTATCAGCGATTAAACCATAAAACTTCACATCATAGGCTAAATCGGATAGGATATGAAACGGTTGAACCACAGTTAAATTACAATTTCAGTATAAAAAACTCTACTACCAACTTTTTCGATATGATTTTACAATCCTTTGGTTCAAACAATTTTTTTACAATGGTGGAAACAAAAGTTTTAAGGCACTTTTTGAACTATCAATTGCAAAAAAGTATAATTTAGTTAGCGATAACAAGAATGTGTGATCTCATGCAACCCAAAATACACTTTGCAACTTCTATCTTTTTAAAATAAATGTATGCTACTCATATCCGTTATTCATCAACTTAATGAGTAACATATATTTCATGTAATATTATTTTCATACTTTTTTATATATTGAATTATTTCATGAAAAAAATATTTGATGCATGAAAATTACTACATTGTTGTTAGACATGTATGCGATCTTAGAATAATTTGGGAAGTCCGTACACAACACATTGTGCAACTAACTATTAGCGACAGGTTAGCATCATGTCATATGTATTTCAAATCAAGCAACTTCATATTTATTACCAACAGTGTGGTAAAAAAGAATGCTCTTTATTGGGAAACACTTAAATGACATATTAAACTCTATGAGACATTTTCTTTCATTCTAAATGTTGATTATGTATGAATTACGAGAAACAACTCTAATATTCAACTATATGGTTTAATTAAGTAATGAATGATAATTAATTATATTTTTTCATTAAAAAATTATATATAAGGCTTATATTACATAGTTGAATCACTTTAAAATATATTATGTGCATAACTAAGGTAGAAAATAATCATTTCGTGCATTTCAAATAATCTATTATATTCATTATTATATATCATATTTCTCGACAAAATTTTTCCATCCAATGGGTCGTGCTTGTGCTAATTTATACTAGTCGCGAAGGCTACGCAGCGGTTGGGCCTCTACTTATACGGAAGGCCCATAGAGTGGAAGAAAATTCGCCTTCCTCGTTTTTTCCTCCGCCGTAAATCAGCAATCCCTGTTCCTCAGTTTCCTCTGCCGCAAAGTAATCTTCTCGTTGTTCATCAATTTTTTTCATAGTGGTTAAAGCCTCTCATCTCAATACTTATCTCATTTCGTCTTTTAATGCATTTACAAAAATCGGATCCTCAATCTTTCGTCTTCATGTTCTTCACTTTGTCGCCGTCGACCGCTGCACTTCCCCTCTTTTTCATTCTTTTCTTCTTCCCATCTCAACATTCTTGTTCGTTTTCCTTCTGAAGCCATGAAAAAGTTTGCTGATAAATGGACATAAGATTTCAATTTTGAAAATTTTCTCCTTACATGCTGATTTTCCGTCCCCTATTTTGCATGACTAAGGGGTCGTTTGGATTGAGTATTTGATAAACTTGTTGTTTGGGGCCAATTACCACACAAATACCACATAATATAAAACTTGTTATTTGGTATGTGATATTTGGTCTCAAACTTGTTATTTGGGAAATACCTGCCCCCTCCCAAGTATTTGGCAAACAACACTTTTTGTGTTATTTGGTCTCAAACCTGTTATTTGGCAAAACACTACATCCAAATAACACATCCCACTTTTTGTCAGCCAAACATGTTATTTGGGGTTAAATAACAGATTTTGTGTTATTTGACCTCAAATAACACCCCCAAATACTCAATCCAAACGACCCCTAAGTGATTTGAGCGATTTCAATTTAACATGATGCTGGGGGTGGATTGTTGCAGAGATGATGATGACGATGAACAGGGGAGACAACGGGATAGTCGGGGTTCGGGATTCCAAATGGTGGTGATTTCGACTAATTAGAGGCTCGAGAGTCGAGATATTGGTGGTGATAGTCGGCCGGCGCAAAGAATCTAAACAGCGATGATGTGATGGTGGATTTGCGGTGAGAATCGACGGATCTGTCGTCCTTACTTTTAACTTTTTAATTTATTTTTTATTAATTTACTAGCTAAACCCGACCAACCCAAAATCATAACCCAACCTTCTTGTTTCAACCATTCAAAATCAGAATCAACTTATTCGAACCGGCTAGAATAATGGACGGCACCGGTGCAGTCACTGTACCGCAGAATTCCCGTCAACGTAACCATGAAACAAAGTCAAACTCCCGAAAAAAAAAATTGAGGACGACAAAAACAGGACTTGGACTACCAAGGCCCGTAACAGATGGGCTTCATGGGACAATATTGTGGGCCCAAAGCTTGGATCCAGTGGCAAGAAGTCCAGGATGTAGCAGCGGAGAACACAAAACTTGGAAGAAGAAGAACTTCCCAGAACCGTGTATTTTTTTCTGGAATATCGGGAGCTGTCTTCTTTTCTCTCTTCCTTGCACCTTCGACCAAATTTTTTTTGACAATCATCACGGTGGCCGTACCAGAAATTCGTGACGTATTCATCCTTAGGTTGAAGATAAAGCCAGTTCGTCTTCCTTTGGAGTGTAGGCAAAATCGGGACAAATAACGACCATGGCATCAAAATCCTTAGCGCAGAAGATCGGCCCCGCCATGAGGAGGCAGGCCGTGTCGTTAACAGACGCGGCGGCGTCGAGGATACGCCAGCTTTTGCAGCAGCGGCAACGGCCTTTCCTCCGGCTTGGCGTCAAAGCTCGCGGATGCAACGGCTTGTCCTACACGCTCAATTACGCGGGTGCGTTGCTGCTGCCACTCTCCTTCGATCTCCTCTTGTAGCTCTTGCTTTATTTCGCCCTGATCTTAGGTTGCGCTTTAACGTGGTTCCGATATTGTCTACCATTTGAGACAGAAAGTCGAAATTGGTATTGTTGACATGCTCTGGATCTCGCTGTGATATGATGATTTGATTATCTTTTTCTTCAGAGAAGGGGGGAAATCTATGGCGTAGAATCGAACCTCCCTTTATCTACCAATTTCCTTTTATCTGTCCTGTTGCAGGTCCTCATGATGAGTCCTGTGGAATTCCTAGGCTAATAGTGAATCATAGATTTGATTTGATGCCTATGTGGAAAAGGAAAACTAATTTCCTAGGTACCCTCAAGAACTGAGTCAGTGATAAAAAATGCAACCACTTGCTCAATGATCAGTTCCTTCTTATTACATCTGGCTGCTTTGATCGAATAGTTCTTGCTTCCGTGATTAGCTAGGTAATAGTTCATGATATCCTGCTTGCTACCATGGAGATCTGGTCCTTCTTCTGTTTTCCACTGCTGCGCCTTGTATACTTGTGGTTCCTGTTCCAACGAAGGAAGTTGCTGAAAATGAAAGGATATATGTTGCCTTGCTTTTTTGTTGATAACTCGGAACAGACGAGAAAGGAAAATTCGACGAGTTGATTGATGAGAAGGGCGTGAAGGTACTGATTGATCCCAAGGCTCTAATGCATGTGATTGGAACAAAGATGGATTTCGTTGATGACAAACTTAGGTACGCTGTGGGTGTGGATTTCACATACTGCTGCCTCTCCTTGTCTTCCATGTTGCCGGATTTTCCCGCTGGAATTACATATGTATCTGGTTTCCCTTTGTGTGCAGGTCAGAGTTCATATTCATCAATCCAAACTCTCAAGGCCAATGTGGCTGCGGCGAGTCTTTCATGACGACTTCTACCAGCAGTGCCGCACAAGGTACCAGTAGCCGATAGGAGGTTCGATATGATCGCTGTGAGAGCTGCTTACGGTGCAACCATCCTATCATCTGTAAACTTGTGTCGGTTGTTTGATCAGGGCTCGATACTAAAAACGGTTGGATACATGTAAAGGCAAGTAGTTCTTTGGTTTTGTAAGATTCGTATTGTGAAGGCAAGTTAACTGAACGTGTGTGTAATCATCTCTTCTTTTGCAAGCTATGCGCTGCCGCAAACTGGAATATATGCATCCTTTCGTTTCCTTTAGCTGCTTGTGTTGGTGCTATACAGAAACCACATTGAGTGATCAGTCTCACATTTGATGTAGCAAGCTGTTTCGTAATTCTAGCATGTCTTTCCTCCACTCCAGCAAACTTTTGAGTGATTAGTCTCACATTCAAGTAACAATGCATAAAATGGTCAGACTCGCCTAGACATGGATCTCCATTTTACCCTGCTCTATCTTCTAGTTGTCAACCAAGATCAAATTCGCCCCCGGTACAACTATCTTCGCCTCTGATGTAGCCAGATCACTCGACCTAACGCCAGAAATGAATAATATGAGCAATGGCTAGCATACACCATTTTAAGCAAACAAGCATCTAACTTATTTTACTTTCCTTTGTCATAACAAATTCACTAGCTCTATATCCAGTTCTCGATGCACCGCCGCTGGGTGATTAAGCTAACTCCTATGGTGATACAAGTTTCCTTCAAAGTAAAAACTACTATCATTAGCATTTCAAATGAAGCTTAGGCTACATTTCATGCCTTGGACTCTTTGTCCAACCTTCAGAAGCCACCCGTTGTACAACCTCTCGACCTCTCACAATGCAAGTGTATCTCTTCCTTTCGTCATTGATCTGCACCGGGTCTCTCCCACAGGTGCACCACCGGCTGCGAAACTTACCCCGCAGGTGCACCGGCTCTCGGCCGCAGACGTCATAAAGGACTCATAACGGGTTTCCATGTCGCCACCAAGTGATATCACAACGGACAACTGAGGTTCCTTCTCATGAGCCTCAGCCTCTCCCTGGCCTTCTGTGCCTTCGACTGTCCCTTCGTCCTCAGTTCCTCAACATACTGCATCACAACAACCAAACAACCGGGTTCACATAACTCGCAACACGATCAAATCATCAAAACCACAGCACTCGAAACAAAGTCCATAAGAAATGTTACCTGTTGCTTTCTTTTCCTTTCTAGCTCAACCTGGTGAACCAACAAAGACAATAACATCAAACAAAGGCCGCCACCTGCACCACCAAAAAGAAAAAAGAAAAAAAGAAATGATGATGAAAGATGTTTACCAGTGCTTGCTTGAGCTGCTTGTTCTCGTCTTTCAACTGATTCAGTTCTGCCTCCAGCTCAACCGTGTAAGCCTGCAATTCTCGATGATCAGCATACAATCGGAACACAACAATTACAACACACACAACGAACAACCAAATCCATCTGTCGAAACGCTCACTTGTTTCCTAGCACGGGACCTGGCCGCGGACTCACGATTCTTGATCATCCGCCGCTGCCGCCTCTCGACCACCTTCTCCACCGGCCCATCAATTATCCTCTTACGGCTCCTCAACCCACTCATATCCATCCCGTACTGATTCCCCACCGCATCCACATTCGCCACCATCCCATCCGACGACACTGGACTCACAGGCCCCACCATCGATAACGGTGGCGCCGGCACATATCCCCCTCCGCCGGCGACCCCATTCCCCACTCTCCCGCCGTAAACGGCGGCCGGTGGCGGAGGCTGCTGCTGCGTGTACCCACCGTTCCTTCCGGATGATTCTCCAATCGGCCCACCAGTTTGTGGAAGGACCGACTGGTAATTACCCACCGCTCCACCGCTTCCGATCGACCGGGGAAGAAACCCGGCCGCGACAGCGCCGCCGCCGGACTGGTACATCCCGTACTGCGACTGCTGCTGAGGTGGAAGGAGAGGCGGAGCGGCAGCAGCTGCTGCCCCACATTGTTGTTCCCGAACTACCCCTGCCTTGACGAGAAAATCCTCCAAGGTCATCTCCCCAAAAGTCGGCTGCCGAGGGGTAGAATCGGCATTCCGCACGTTCCCCCGGGAAGAATTGGAATTCCCTTCGCTCTTCCCCGCTGCCGCCGCCTTGTTCATCCTGCCGTTGTGAATCTCCGACCAAACCTCGTCGACCGTCTTCCGGCAGAGCTGCTCCGGGAGAGTGAGCGAGCCTTGCCTGGGAAGGCTGGGCTGCTTGGAGATCCCCCGACCCGGATTCCCCGAACCCGTCGGGTCCCCGTTGCTGGCGGGGGTACCTGCCGACATGGGGGCCGGGTTGGAATTATGAAGGATGGTGTGCCCGGCGGTGCCCCCGGCGGCCTGATTCTCCTCGGCGGTCCAGATGCTGTTGAGGAACTCGTCCATGTTCATGGAGCCGAAATTCTTGCCGCCCTCGCAGAGGGTGTGCTGGAATTCGTCGAGGGTGAGGGAGTAGATGGAGGACTGCCTTCCCAGGGAGGTGAAGGGGATGTTGGTGTTCTTGTTGATGTTGTTGTTGTTGTTGTTGGAATTGGAGTTGTGGAGATGCAATGGCGACTCCACCACCTCGCCGTGTGAGTTCATTTCTTGGTCTGTTGTTCCCATGGCGGATTCCGGTAGTGCTAGCCTGGAAGAAGGCAGAGGAGGAAGAGAAGCATTTGAGTGAGAAAAAGGTAAAGCGAAACAGAGCGATCTGACTGTTACAGTGGGGGTGGGTGGGTGAAAGGTACGAGGGGGGAAGGAAATCAATTCGATGAAGGGTGCAGGGCACTACTACACTAGTCTAGAGGGGCGGTGGTGGGCCCATAATGGGCTGTGGGTGGGGTCCAGGTTAATAAAAGAGTGGCCATAAACCAAAAACAAAAAGCCCAGAAAGGCAGAGCAGGAGGAGGAGGCCTAATACCAACTTTTTACCACCGGTGGTGCTTAAATCGTGTTGATTTGATTGTCACTAATAGGGATGATTTATTTTATTTAGGTATGCAGCCTCAGAATGCGTGAAAGGGACAATCCCGAGGACGTGATGTTGACAAAACCCGAACCAAACAAACTAGTCACCAAGAAGAAGCCAAACAAAACTTGTTAAAAGGAAAAGAACAAATAATTCATTATATTGAACGGATGAAGGAAAAGCTGCATATGCCACAAGACAACGGGCCCAAACTTGGTTACGTATGGATCTCACTCACTGAAACCCAGCAATAAGTACAGGCTAACCCAGTTTGAACGGCCCATCCCTACTTGGCACAACACGATTCAATTTATCATAATTATTAGCCGTGACTGTGAGTGACATGAATGGATAGATACTTCAAGTTGTGCCGTTGCTCTTTCAGTTTTCTGTTGAGGTATGTCCTGTAGATGTACTAAAATTGGATCGATTTTCTAGGTTTACGAGGTAAAGATTAGACAACAATTATGCGGCTGGACTTGGACACCTTGAGATCGATTTTCTTCTTCCTATCCTTCCCCCTTCCTTGTAGCACTCTACTCTACTCTGGCCCGCCCAGTTCAGACTCCCCCTTTTAAATCTAACCCTAAAATTAAACACCACCATCAAAGCATTGCTTATCAAACCCTAATTAAGAGGCCCTAAGACCAGTGATTGGATTTGATCATTATATACTATGCTTAACTGAAATGAGCATCAAGCAAGAAATAGAAAAGTCAATCACCTGGCTGCTATAGAGATCTGAAGAGACCAAGTTGGGGAGGAGATAAGCGACCGAGCTCCACAGACTAGAACCAGCAGGACAGCAAACCAAATTTCTTTTTCCACCCGCAGGAGCTAAGTAACTACTTATTAGTGTGTTAGAGACGGCCTCAAAACGGGGAGCGCGTTGGGCCACGCCATTGTTGTATATATATATATATGTAGACAGCAAACAAGAACAGTGAGGGAGTAGGCTTTTGCGGTTTTTGGGTTTTGGTTTGGGGTGTAGGAATCTGGGCGGGTGGGGTGACGATGAGGGCGGCAATGGCAATGGCAAAGGCAAAGCTTACTTGCAAACAGTGGTTTAGTACACAGTGAGTAGTTTGTGGGTTGGTTGGGGCTGATGTGGAGTGGAGCACTAGTCCTGTATTTGTGTTACTTATTAATGTTTGAGGGAGGGGCATGGAAGTTGTGAGAATTTTCAATTCCGCCCTCGATGTCGAATGGATGACACGTATCCAACAGGTGCCATCCCCTCCTTAACTGGGGGCTGCTGCTGCTTACACGTGGCTTGTTTCGAATTTTTCTTTCAATTCCGCCTCCTCTTTCCTAGTTTCCTTTGCCGCGACCCTGCTTTCGCTTTCTTTTTTTTAATCTTTTACTCTCACTCCACCAATGTCCGTTTTTCTTGTGATTTTCCTAATTTCTTTTTTTGTTATGTCGAGATTAGGGATGGTAAATGGTTAGTCGGTAATTGGTTTTATTCGATGACCACATCGATAACTACAGGCTACAGTTAATGGTTGATCGATAAGCGTTAATTTTTTTTAGTGGTTCGATTTTGGTTAGCTGTTTTGCTTAATGGTTAATCGCTAATCGACATAATCGATTAGCGGTTAACCAATACGAAAATCGATAACCGCTTACTAGTATAATCACATATTTTTGGTGTTTGGAAAAGGAAAAGAAGTCTCAAGGTTCAAAACCAACCAAAATTATCAGAAATCTCAATTTTCAGTTATTGTAAACAAAGCCTCCACACAAAAGTCTTAAATGTGTTTAAGAGTCAGAACCCAAAATCATTCTCTCTGACTCCCCTTTGCAATCGATAGAGCGAACATCAACCTTATGCTAGTATCCTTTGTTCATTGATGTCTGTGGATGTTGATTATATTGTTTTTTTTTTACAAGACAAATGTTGATTATATTGTGATTTTTGTGCTTGATGTCTCGATAGTTATTATTCACTAATTAGATTAAGACGTTTGATTATTTTTATTTTATATATTGAAATTTGGATTTGGATTATGAATTCACGATGTATGTTTTTTTTATTATTAGTATTTTTTGTTAATAATGAAGAAGTGTATTTTCTGCGCAAAAATTTTCAAAAACGAATTAAAAACGAAGAAGATACCATATGGTATGTAGTTAGTACCGAGATGCACAATTTTTTTTTCTAAAAAAATACTGAAAATGGATCTCATTTTGTAGATCACAACGCACTCGTTCCATCTGTGCAAAAAAATTGAAATCCGAGTTAAAACGAAAAATACATAAGCTGATTAAGAAAATAAGAGAAAAATAAAAATGTCTTTAATTCTCCACCACCCTTAGATCTGAATTTTTTTATTCTGAATTTTTTGATTGAAGAATCCAAATTTAATTACTGATGCACTATCTTGAGGCTAAAATTATGCAGCCACCCACTAAGTACCTGTATGTAATTAAATATATTTTACATTCTTTTATTAGTATTTTTTCCCCATGATGGTGCTTTGGCCCGTAAGAAAATGGTCAACTTATGGCTTCGTTGAGTGGGTTTGTTGTGTGCATACTAGGTCCAGCATGGAGCCAAATCATTAGAGTTTGAGAGAGAGGTCGGATCACTGAGTTTATTTTTTTAGAGAGGTACTAATTAACGCCCTAACTATTTAAATTTATCGCCCTAATTTAAGCAAGTTCACGTTTTTGTCCTTAGAAAATTCCCAATCTCTAACTATAATCGTAACCCTAATTAGTACCTCTCAGCCGTCAGTTGCCTTAATTAGAGATGACCGCTGACATTCCCCCTGGAAGGATTCCTCACGGAGGGCGAGGGTGAGCATGTCTGGTGACGGCGAGCTGTTTATCGCTCGAAAAGCCGTTCGGAAGGAAGAGCCGGGTCGCGGAACCCGAGAGGAATCATCGTCGTCGAGAAGCTGTTGATCGGGCACCGAGAAGAATCATCGCCGCCGTCGCCCAATCATCATACCTCATCGTCGTCGCCCTAATCATCGCCGCCATACTTGAAACGTGTCCTCAATCGGCGGAGCTGCAGTCCTGGCGGCGGAGACAGGGCGGAACGAGCAGGCCTGAAACGCAACGCTGCCCCTCCACGGCTCCACCAGGCACCGGCGACGTCTCCCGCCGTCTCCCACCCACGACCCTCGTCGACCTCAACAACAGCAGCAGAAGACCTCCGCGGCACCGACCGCACGCCGCTGCCGTTTCTCCTCCTTCATAGATGTAGAGAGAAGAGAGAAAAGGAAAAGGTTTGGAGGTCTAGGAGAGGCAGAGATAGTAGAGAAGATATCTGGTTTAATTTTGTTCTTGGGGAAACAAGAGAAGAGAGAAGAGGGAAGAAGATATTATTTTTGTTCTTGGGGAAACTAGAGAAGAGAGAAGAAGAAGATAAGAAACGTGTGGGTGGGGTGAGGTAGGGTTATTTTTTGTCTTGCTTGTTCTTCTCTTTCTTTTTATATATATGTTTTTTTATTGTTAGGTAACATCTACACATAATATAGAAGGACATTTTGGTTTTCACACTTACTTTTTTTAATTCATTAAAAAGACACGTAGTGGGATTCGAACCATGACCATTTTAAGGAAAAGTAAGGATCATAACCAATCACACTAAGTACATTTGTTGCATCTTTTTAAATTAAAAAGATATAATAGCAGAGAGGAAAAAACCCTTCCCCCATTTCAAATTTCCTGCTCCAGGAGCGTTTGTAGGAATGATAGAATAGGGAGTGTCAATTTTTTCCTCTTTCCTCTGTGGAACGAGCCAACTTACCGTACACATGCGGATTTAAACGGGTTCAAGAGTGTCAATTTTTTCATTAAGCCCTTTTATTTCTCCGTGGTGATAAAATATATATGAAGAGGCAAAAACAATACTTCTCTTTATTGCTAAAAATAAAAAATTTAACAATAAACTAATGCATGGTATCTAATGGGCTAACCGCTAACCATAAAATAAAAGAGTTGAATTGGTTTGACCTACACGGGATTTGGCCATCAAGTAAAACAAATGAACATCATTGGTTTGACATTCTAAAACAAGCTATTTTCTCTGGCATAATATATTATGCTATTATTTTATATCTTAGTGGCTAAAATATAATGTATTTTAAAGTTATTCAATGGTTCAACCTCGACTAACCCAATTAGTCCAATTTTTATCATTTCAAATATATATTATATAATTATTTGATATCATAATGATCAAATCATAGTGTATTTTATAGGGAATCGTTTGGTATTTGTTAGTAAAAAACTAAACAGAAAGATCTATCCCAAATCGACAGTCATCTCTTTTCTTTCACTATTTTTTATTTTCAAATAAAAAGTTTAAAAGTAAAGAATAATTAGAATTTGGCATGGGTCGGTCAAACAGGCTGCATTTCAAGTTTTGGCCCCTTTTGATCAAGTCTAATTTATAATCACATGGTTCCCTGATACCCGATAAAAATCTCAATCCAAACCAGTTTGGTAGGTGAGTCCGTGTTTACCAACATTTTCTAGGGATACGACAACGACGGTTCCTATCCCAAATCATGTTGTTCGTTCTTTATTTCCTTAGATTTTATCATAGCCTGAAAAAAACCAGAAAGCACAATGACGACAAGATGAAAGTTTTATAAACCAAATTAATCGGCCAACAGGTCGAGTAAAAGCTAGCAACGAT